TCTGAAACCCAAGCAAACCTGCACAGCAACATGTAATCTCCCTTCCCCACTCTGACTTCTTTTAGGCCTGCCATGAAGTAAGTGAATAAAATGAGGGCTATGACACCAAGGAAAAAGTAGATATTAAGGAGAAGTACATTGATATTATCACAGATATCTGGTGTACAGATCAAAACTTATTTCAAACTTACTTCAAATCCATTTCATGAAGGCGTATCAAGAGGAAGTCCTTCTCCCTGTTGCATGCCCACTGTATTCCTTGACTGTAAGGCATAGATTGTTGAACATGTAATTCCATCATGAGAGAGTGCTCCTTGCTGTGCACGCACTGCTGCATTATACAAAAGGCTTGGATTAAAAAAAAAAATGAGCCTCCAGCTAGCATTGCCTTGCTCCTGCAGTTGTACGCTCTCTCTCATACAAATAACAGTCATTCCTTCAACAGATACATTCCTCTTGCATTAATAACTGTAGAATGGTCTTCTGTGTGATGTTTTGGTGTTCTTGTGGCATGCAATACCATCCTAGGACTTGGCTTTCATCCCTTCTGCCCTGCTAACATCCGTAATTTCCAGCTCCTGGGCAGCAGAGAGCAGCTTGGATACTGTCTCTCCCAGTGCCCTTTTTCCAGTGGAGAATGGTAGAAAAGTGTTTCTTGCTTCATCTGTAATTGTAGCAACAAGAAACAACATCTCATTACTCACTGACCCTTTGCAAATCTCAGTATAACGATTAAGTAACTTAATTTTGGTTTGATAAAAAAAAAAAAAAAAAAAAAAAAGAAAGAAAAGGACTTAGTGTCAAGTTTCTTCTATATGAACTTTACAGTTCGCTGTTAAATCCAAAACCTTTGTTCTTGTTCAGCTCTGCTGAATTTCATTGCGAAGCATAGAATAGCTTGGGTTGGAAGGGACCTCAAGGATTATCAAGTTTCAACCCCCCTGCCACATGCAAGGCCACCAACCAGATCTAATACGAGAGCAGGCTGCCCAGAGCTCCATCCTTGGAATCCTCCAGGGATGGAGCATCCACATCCTCCCTGGGCTGTTCCAGCCCCTCATCACTCTCTCTGAGAAGAACTTCCCCCTGACATCCAATCTAAACCTTCACTCCTTGAGCTTAAAACCATTCCTCCTTGTCCTGTCACTATCTACCCTAGTAAAAAGTTTATTCCCCTTCTTTTTATAATTCCTTTTTAAATACTGGAAATATGGCAGTCATAGAGAGAACAAATTTTGGCTCATTTTTACACCCCAAAAGATACTTTCAAACTCATTTTTATCCAACAAAAAAGCCCAACATCCTCCTCAACAGAAATATTGGTGTCAGCCTTACATATCACACATACACTCTGCATGTTTCTTCATTGATTCCCTGAAATAAAATCAATGAAAAAATAACATTCACCACCTGAATACTTTGACTGCTAAAGTGAAGAAAGTCAAGAAATTTTCCCTTCTGTTTTCCTAGCAAATGATTTAACCTAGTTTGTTAAATTCTGGAGTAAAATAAATGTTTGATTTCTAGATTCTGAGGTTGGTTAAAGTACAGATATTTTGATTTCTCACAGCTGGTCAGAGTGAAGTCAATAAAATATGCACAGAAGAAATGCAAGCAGCATTTGGCTCAATATAAAGATTGATAATGTAACCACTCCCCCCAAAAGCTTTATTATCGTCATAAGTCTCTCTTGTTTTTTATAGTTTGCACTGAGCAAAACAATCCATCATACTTGAACTTCATGCACATTCCTGAAGCCAGCAGTTACTACAAGTCAATTTTTAATTATGATATTTTTATAAAACCTACAATTTATTTCCTGATTTGGTAAAACACTTTAAGCAGCAAGTCATCGATATAAATTATGTAAATCTCAAATGGCCCCACAGTCATTAATCTGACTGGATTTCATAATGAAACATAATATAGCAATAACCTGCTGCTTCTCCATCTGACATCACAGAGTAACCAAAATGGCTACAACAGTGATGAAGTTTTGTTCTAGGCTAGTGAGGTGTTTAACCTTTTAAGTAAATTGCCTGCCTGTTGTGTACAGACTACCTTCTCTGATTATCAAGATTATCAAATCAACGTGATGACTAAGGGAAGGAATCAAACCAGATACAAATGCCTGCCATTGGAAATCTTCCTTCCCCTTCCTAGGGGACAATTCCCACATAATCTATTGTTTCTTCAGCACTAGAAATGCTTTTTTTTCTCCACATGGCCATTAAGTAATACAGCCTGGACTTCAGTTCATATTTTTTAACTTCATATGCTCATCTCCATATTGAAACATCACACCAGCAAATGAACATCCCTATTTATACTGCTCATATTAACCCAGTTACATAGTGGCAATAAAATTCCATATTAAGAAATAGGAGCTCTCATTGCACATTCACAAAGCCCTCCAAAGAACAGAGGAAGAACAGACCGTAAGTCTCATAAATCCAGCTTAATTTATTCATAGTGAGAGTCTACGAATCAGACATTTTTATATTCCAAGATATTTATGGTAAGATGGTGAATGTATTAAAAAAAAAATCCCAACAAAAATTCAATGATTGATGATAAAATAACAAAACAGATAATAGATTTTGAACTTTTTTTTTTTTTATCAAAAAGTGAAATACTGTAAACATTAATGTGGCTTATAGGCATTAAATCAAATCTGTGGTGGGTGAGGGCAAGGTGGGCATTTCAAAACTTTCCTGCATCAGAACCTTCCAACTTGTCTGCTTCAATAGTGGCAGTAATACAAAGATATCTTCCCTTTGACAAATATACCTAAGTAACCTGTCAAGTTGATTCTATACATCATACTCATTATCAGACACCAGGTTTTCAAGTATTTCAATTAAAAGAGAACGGGATAGTCTGTTAGAGGAGTCCATGTGTTGTGCTGGAGGTGTCTTTGTTTCTTTAGGGCCATGTGGAAGAAGTATTTGGTGAATGCTACTGTGCAGAACTCCTTTAGCAACATTATAAAAGGCCATGCTATATGGACCATACCATTGCTTGTGCTTAGCCTGATCTCTTTGCTATTAAAAGCCACAATGAAATCCATCCGAGAAGTAGGATTTTTGTTTTAGCCATCTCAATCTTTATGTTTCCTTAGGTAGTAATTTCCTATTTTGCACCCTAAGTATGTTTGTATTCTCATTTACAGCTGATATTCTCACTGCATTCCACTACAGCCTGCAGAGCTCCCTTCCCTCTGTGCACATATCAGCAACACAAAATGCCTGCTCACTCTCCCTTCTGCTATGCTAAGCAAATTAATTTTAATCTCTACTTACAAAGCAAGCTCTTCATTCCCCCTGATTATCCTAATAGCCATTCCCTCTGCTCGTACAAATCTGAGCATGTACGCAGGGATCCAAATGAAGTCTATGCAGTGGCATTAATTTAACTGTTGCTCTACTGTATTCTCAGCACTGAAAGTACATTTTCACTTAGATTGGAAACAGTGCAACCAGACATTATGCTCTGGTCTTTCTCTTTCTTAACCCAATTCTATTGTTATTCCTCAGGATCGCTAATGTGCTGCTCTGTGCTGGAAGTACGCAAGTCTCATTTGTAGGAGAGCAGGACTTAAAAGATTCTTTGGTGATAATTCCAGATAACGGTGGATAAGACCTGAGCATACTCAGTTCAATTTTATTTGGTTTGATTTTTTTTTGTTTGTTTGTTTTTAAAGGAAGAAAATGAATGTGCAGCAATAAAGGAAATCCTGTAACTCAGCTAGAAAGCTAAAAAGCAAGAATCCAGTAAATATCAGTCTTTTGAGATAATGGCTTTTCCTGATCAGCTATTCTTCACCAGTTCCCTATCTAAAGCCTCTGTGGCACACACTGATGAAAAAGAACTTGACCTGCAATGCCCCATAGGAGATAGTAATGTACACTGTAGATCCACTCTTTGGCCTCCTAGCAACTATGAATGCTTTCTGGTTGACCATATAGATGAGAAATTAAGCAAATAGGACTTTCCTCACTGTGAGGAAGATTTAAGGTAATTCTTACAGACTCTACTTCTCCTGTTTAGAATTGCTCAATTGTGTGGCAAGGTTGATCTCCTGGGACAAAGCAGCTAACACTGCAACATTTGTGCTTGCTTGATTTCTGTGTGATTATGAAATTCTCTTGCTGCTTTTGGGAATTCCCAGAAAATCAAACAGTTTTGTCTTGCTTTTCTTGAAGAAAAGCCAGGCATTCTGCCTGACCTGCTAAGAGTCAGCCTAGTGAACAGCAGGCAGCAATGCCAAAGCCCATCTGCCTTTACTGCTTCTTCCTCCCAGAAGAATGTGCCATCTACACAGCTAGGTGGGACCAAACCCCATCACATGCTTAGTAGTCGTCACAGAGAACCATTCTCAGAGAAGGAGACACATGGGGCCTGAAGATGGAATATGACGATTCCATAGCCCAGATGGTCTCAGCCACGTGTCATGAATGAAATACAGGAAAACAGGGTGGGATGGACACATGTTGGTATCAATTGGCCGTTTTGTAGAAAGAAGGAACAAGTACATACATAGATACCTATTTTATCTAAGCCCTGTAAGGAAATATTTGGTTTGGTGTCAGCAGAAAGTCACAGTGTTGCTCTTATTCACTAATGATGCACTGGCTGTTTGTTTCCGCCTTCAGCAAGCACTCACAATTAACAGAAAGGGTAATATTTATGCATTAGTTTCTGAATTTGACTTCAAGAGCCAGATGAATAAAACTAGATAAATGTCAACCACAGGCTTTTAATGTGTTTCTGGAAACAGGCAAGGGAAGTTTTAATTACACACAGAAATGTTTCAAGATCATAGAACTATCAGGGTTGAAAAGACCACCAAGATCATATAGTTGAACCACCAATCCAAGTCTGTGACCCCTCAGTGCAACCTCTACTCTTTTCTTGACCACCTGTGGGACAGTGACTCCACTACCTCCCTGGGCAGCCTGTACCAATACCTTACCACTCTCCCTGTGAAGAAATTTTTCCTAATATCCAACTTGAACATTCCCTGGAGCGACTGAAAGCCATCATTTCTCATTCTATTGCTGCTGCCTCGAAGAAGCAGCTGACTTCCACCTTGTCACAGTTTTCTTTCAGAGAGCTGTGAAGTGAGATCACTGTGATCGTGTCCATCTGATACTAATGACATGATACTAGTTTCCCAAATCAGACCCCAGAATATGCAGCCAGACACCTATTTTGTTCAGATTACTTCTCACAAAAGTAATAAAACAGCCAAAAGCCCAGGTGGCACTCCTGCAAATGTATGTTTCAGAGCCCTGAGACCTGATCCTGCAGCTGCCAGCTTCACCCTGTGAAAACCATTAGCAGCTGGCTTCACGTCTAGGAAAAGTAAATGAAATATGCTGCATTTTCACAGCCATCAATCAGCAGAAGCAGTGCCAGGAAAGCTTCATAACGATGCAGTTATTGTGAATTGACATTGCAAAAAATTATTCCTTTCACGAGAGAAACACAGAAGCAAAAAACAACAGATGATCTCAGGGCACACACTACATGGGGCAGCGATCCCTTTCTTCTGGGGAGGGAATGAAGATGGGGGAGCACCTCCTTTTTCCAGCAGCACTTACCCTGACACCCAGGGATGGATGGCAGCAGGAGGGCCCATTTCTCAGTGCTCTCTGCAGGTCTCTGCAGCTGTGATGGCAGCTGGACCAAGCCGCTGGGTCAGGGGAGTGACTGCCTCACTCAGCTTTCTGTTACTCTTCCTAGGAAGAAAGTTCTGAGAGTAGAAGATCATAAAATGCAAAATACTTACAGAATGGATGCACGGGAGCAATACAAAAGCGTGAATAAACAGCAATTTGTTTTATTTTTTTTAATGTTCTGCAAAATGACTGAGAGCTATCAGATGCATCTCTGCTCTTAAATGTCACATTTCCAAAGGTTCATCTGGACATATTCCTTTTTATTATCTTTACTGACTTCCTGACAGAGATACTGAAATGTCTGACTTGACTCAAGCTGTGAGCAATCTTTTTGTAGGAACTGAACGAAAACAAACTGATAACAAGGGTGATTTCATTAATAAAAAACAGCCAGGTGACTGGTTACATGAGATGCGATTGAAATCATGCATGCAGAATGCTGACATTATCATATTGTTTACATCATGTTTTTTCATGGCACAGGAGAAAGTATCTTTGTCAGCTCAGTGGAAAAAGGTTGGAGATGATTGAAATAAAACAGCAGGAGGAGGCTGATGTGATTGAGTCACATCACCAACTGCCCATGTATAACACGGTAATGGAGGTGAAAGTAGAGGGCAAACTAAAATTAAGTGGAAAGGACACAGGAGACAAAAGGCTACACATATAGGACAAGGAGAGGATGTGCAATGAGCTGATTTGTATAGCAGGCTGAGTGCACAAATTTCATGCCCTCTATTTAGGTATTTCCTGTTCATATTGATGCAAATGCTGTACTGACTTGTGCTGGAATGGACAATCTTTTTAGTGCACACAGAGACAGGCATGTTCAATTAATTTTATGGTCTTGGGCAGAGAGGTCGAATGGCAGCCCATGAGTCAAATCTCCAGCAGCCAGATTGGACAACAGGAGGAAAAAGTAATATCTGGGGAGAAAAGCAAGGTCAACTCCAGACCCGCTCTGGTAATTACTCATACTTCAGCAGAAAATAAAGTGTTAATTTTGGTACAAGTCATCAAGTAAGAATTTCATTATTGTAGAATATCTCTACAAAGGCAGTTTAGTCTAAATTGTTCCCTCTGGATAGGAGGATGCTAGATTCAAGTCATGAAACCAATGGTCACACAAGCCACAGGGCAGCCAGGATGTCAGCACTGTAGTGCTCTCCAAGAAAGAATTGATCCATAAAAAAACATTAGAAATGTCTGCAGTTTGGAGCGAAGGCTGCTGTGGGTCATGGTGTGTCAGGTTGGCATTGGGTCCCCAGTAATCTCAAGTAAACAATATTGGGAAACAAAGAGCTTACAAAGAAGAGTTTTGGCAGTCATCTTCAATGCACTGGTTCAGCTTCTCTTGGTGCTATTTCAGCTTGAGGCCTCAGTTCACTTCAAAATAATTTTCACTTATAGTATACGCCATTATATGCACTCACAAGGAGCTATGCAATACACGATTGCTATCTCCAAATGTTTCCAGAAGAAAGCAGGACCACCTGATACAATTATGCATTCATCAGACACTGCAGAAAGAGGTGATAGACAGTGCTGTAAATCTGTCTAGTCACTAAGAGCACATTATTCTCCGTATGTGGATTAGGAAATACAAAAACAAAGAGCAACAGGGTAATGATTACCATCTCAGCTAGGAGGGATCTAACTTATTCCAAGGCAAGGAGGAACTCCTCAGTGCTTTGAAGAAGCTGACAAGACACTCTCCAGCACTTGAACCAGAGCAAGTATTTCACCATAGAATCATTAAGGTTGGAAAAGACTACCAAAGTCACCAAGTCCAACTGCCAGCCAACCCCCACCATACCTACTAACCACATCCCTTGGTGCCACATCCACAACAGTGCCAGAAACAGTGACCTCACCACCTCCATGAGCAGCCTGTTCCAAAGCATTACAGCACCTTCTGAGAAGAAATCTATTCCTCTTCCAACCATCGTCACATAAAGTCGTGATGGGAAATATTCACTAACCAGGAAACCCCAGAGCCAAGGTTGTTTGTGCCACCTTAATTTGCTCCACGTGCTTGTGAATTATAATCCAGTCTCTAGGGTATGATTGTGCACTGACTTGCTCAAGGACTTGTGCTTCCGTCAGTGCCAATTACTGAGTCAGTAGCTCATGTCTTTCTTATTTGTGAGCATGTGGCTCTATTGCACGTATGCCACAAAATAGCAAAACCCATCTTGGAAGTGCCATTCATTTCCTGATAGGCTTTTTCCTTCTTCATTATAGCAACTAAGTGTTTAATGTGCAGTCATTAATTTACTTTCAGAGCCTTTGTGGGGTGCAGGGAAAATAGTATCCATGTTATCACAGCCAAAGAAAGTAGTGTAGGTACATTAAAAGGGGAGGAAAGCAGATAAAATGACATAGAGAATATCAATTCATTCAGTCTTTGTTGCTTCAGCCTTCTCAGAGTAATTTAATTATAATCAGATACTTAACACAGTTAATTTTAAGAGGGCTATAGGAACACAAGGCAGGAAAGGCAGCTAAAATGGGTATATCCAGGTTGGCAGTAACTGATGAATCCACTCCAAGTAACAGCCAAATAATTATTTGAAACATTAAAAACTGTCCTCAAAAATTACGGAGGACCTCTGAAATCCAGAGGACAAAGGCAGAAACACAATTTCACTGCTTAATATCAAAAAGTGAAAAAAGGATGATTCGGGAACCTGCAAACCAAGCAGACTACTTTCAGTGCAGGTTCTTAATGACTCAAAAATTCCAGAGTTAGTTATTAGGAAAAATTAGGAAGAATAATATTTGGTACTGAGAGCACTGCACATAAAGCACACTAACTCATTAGACCTGTGCACTCGGACTTGAGAGGCTGCAGCTGGAGTGCTGTATCTAATCCTGATCATCAAATAAAGCTGGGCAAATTGGAGGCATATCAGCTCAAAAAAGGAGCTGCAAAGTTAACAAGAGGCCTGCGAGTGTGACCTATGGAGAAAGTTAAATGAAATAGTCTTGTCCACAAAATGGCCTTCACCTACAGCTTAGGAGGAGAAAGGCAAACTCCCTTTTGTGCGTGGCTCAGCAACACTAAATCCTGCCTCAGAATGGAGTAAATGGTGATTTCAGAGACAGGGAAAAGGGATTAAAAGTGTCTAATCCATAGAGACAGATTTCTGAACCTAGATGATCCCAAAGGGGAACCCAGTACGAAAATGATCTCCGCTTCCATGGAAAACATAAAGACTTTTCCAACTCTTTTAAACAGGAATGAAACCCTAGTAACAATAATAATGCTTAAAGAAGGAAAGGAAGAAAGGTCCCCTCATTCTCCTCTCCCCTGCCAATCCCTTAATAGCCATTAACCCAGGAGATAACTGCATTAATGTGAGAAGTTTTGATGGGCTGACTCAGAGCAGAAACCAAGCCTCCTGTTTTGCAGTGGTCTTTCATGGGCTTTGACTATTGACAAAATCTCGCAATCGCAAGTTCAGTGGAAATACACATCTGTGAAAATCTCAGCGGTGTCAACAGTTTTCAACAGAAAAATGGTTCATGGCAATGCTTACAGCCAGCTCTGACATCAGTATCACAGCAGCAGCTAAGCATTAAGTGCTTCACATTTCTGCATATCAGGATCATCAGTCACGCACCCAGAAAACAAGGAGCACAGAAGTAATGATCACCTCTGACATGGCTGGAGTGACTTATCCAGCACGACACCAACCCTGTGGCAGCCATATCTATCAAATCTTTGGAGCAGCTTTCTCAGAGTCTTTCCACTGAAACATCAATATTAGCTAACGTTTTTAAACACTGTCATCTGTTTCAGTTGATCTTATTCTTCATAAATTCACTCTTTTTCTATTGGCAAAACTGGGGGTTATTGATACAATCAAGCGTCAAGAGAACAAGTGCACCACAGAACATCCTTCCTCTTGCTGTTTATATTTGCTTGTCTGAGAAATATGTGCAGTGGCAGAATACTCATTTCCACCCCAGACAGTGAGTAATAGTTCTGATGCACCAGCCTCATACAAAACATCTCTTAGCTTTTTTAAAAAATTCAACGTTCAGAATCTGTGTATGATCACAGATGAATTTTTTAGGCCGTTTGATTTTGCTGCCCACCTTTCTACTCATTTTTTTTTCCTCCTTCATAACATTTGGATTATTTAGATAAAATCTTAATGGATAAAACTACTGCTTTCCCAGCCTGTCCATGCAATTGCCTTGATGCATTTATATGAAATAATCTCACACAGAGCTTATACTCTTCACTTTTATCAGCCAAAAAGCGTACTGGAATTAACATATGGTATCACACTCTATTTGCTTTATACCAATTCCAAACACTCAGGGGCAAGTTGTTAGCAGACAGAAGGTAAAACAAGCGTGCACCATCCATGCCAAGCCCTAAGCAGATAAGGGTATGAACAAGCTCCTCCTTGTTGGGGAGCAGCAGGGATTGCTCAGAGCACTCTCCTCGGAGAAGTCATACAGATAGAAGTTTGGGGCAGCCCCTGAAGGCCTGAGAAAAGAATTTGCAAGGTTCATAGGGAATTTCTGAGAGCTGCTCGGAAAGATAAGTTCTGCACCAAATCAACAAAACGTGTGCAGAGTACAGACTAACAATGGTAATGTCTCTAAAGTCCACTTATGTTATCCCACGAGTGGAAAATGGGATTCTGCATAATCCATGGTGCATGGTTTTGAGCATGGATGGATTAAGCAACCTTCTCCAGCCCTTCCCTGTCTTATTTTCTTGGACCTTTTATTCTGTTGCACAAGTGTCTCATAGGTTCTTGCTGCTGGCTCAGGATAGATGTCAGGATAACAAATACAAGTACTCTGTTTGCTCATGTTTTTTTTCCCCTTTTCCTTCTACCAAGGTTTCATCTCCTAGTCAGGGATTCTCTTTTCATGAAATTCTCACTAGCAGCATTGCAGGGGCTAACTCAGCTCTACTGTTTACTTAGGCTGGAAGAAATTATTAATGGTTTTATTTTCTTTAATCTAATGTTGTCTGCCAGCAACTCCAACTCCACCTCCTACTTGATTTGGCAGAAAAAACACAACCCTTATTTTAGCAATTATACATAGACATAACTGCCTTATAAAAAGCTGAAAAGCAGACTCTTTCCCATATACCACATGCACCCATGATCAGAGATCAGTTCTCTACATTTTGTTGTCTTGTGAAAGGAAACAGTTTAATGACTACCTGCACAGCCTTTTGCAGAGATGGACTGCCATTTCTCATGAAATCACAGCCAAAATAGCCTTCTGTTCTTAACCTCTAAGAAATCTTTGAAATGATTTTGGCTATGCAAAATTACTGCAAATTATTATTGCAAACGATTCAATCCCTACAAAAACCTATTTCACTCTTGCAATAAACCCATGAAGTCTGTGGAGGATCCTCAGAAAAAAAGTTGCCTTGAAAAGGAAAAGGTTATTCTTCCCATCTTAGAAGAGGACTTTAAATGATGGGACATATTCCAACAAAAGGACAGAGAAGCAAATTTGAAAGCTGCTATCCCATGATCAGAGATATAATGCTTTAGGTCCCTGATTAAAGAGAAAATTTCAGCTTTGATGTACTCTCTGTAGTCAAGGAGTCATAATGAATAAGTAACAAATATTAAGAAATGAGTTCAAGAGAAATACAGGCATTAGCTGGTAGGGGCAGCTGCTTCAAGTCAGAGCCATAATATTATCCATAGTGGGGCTTTTTAGTGATGGAGATACTGATGGCAGACCAAACTTACTGGCAACATGATTGAATTTGTGCTAAGAGGAACTATGACCTAAAAGGATGCAAACCACAGGAAAAGAGCATTGTGTCACAGGACTGAAGTCTGCATTTTGCAGCCACTGCAGTAATAATTTAGAGATAAGGAGGTTTATCATGAAAAGCAGCAGGCTGTTCCTCATCTCAGCATTGCTGATGCCAAAAATGTCTCCCTGTAAAGGCTGGGTTAAGCACCATGCCAAAACTTCACTTTCCTGCATGTTTATGTTGTGCAGTGTGCATGCACTGTATTCCTGAAATCAGGACAGTAGGAGCTGTGTAGTATTGAGCATGGCAGGACGGCAGACAGAGGAAGAAATATAAAAGAATTAAAAGTAAAGGCTCATCACAGAGAGCGGTTCATGCAAAGAAATGCAATCAAGACAGACAGGCAGCACATGCTCATGAAGCAAACCCAACTGATGTGGGATTCCTCAGGACAGAGCTTCCAGTGAACAGAGCTGGCTAAAATGGCATTGCTGACACCATCACTACATCATCAGGATCTAATGTAGTTTCATTTTTAATGTGACAAACTATTTAGACTACAGAAAAAGAGGTGCATTTTTTTAAAAGTTGAAATACGCCCTTTCAACATTTTTGAAATTTAAATGACTCAATGATTCCTATTTCTGAGTTGAACAGGCATTTAGTTTGACTTCCAACTATTATCTGTCTCCCTGTTTTATTTTAGAGACTATTGCTCTATAAAAAATGAACGGTTTAATTTTAGGTTGAAGTAAGTCACTTTTCCTCACTAGACCACTGAATTGCTACTTATCTGCTTCATACATTTTCCTAGTGCCTGTATCATCTGTTCAACACAGTATTATAGATGGTGTATTTCTGTCTTTCCTACATGCCATCTTTCCCTTTCTTCATTGCTCTGGATGCTGTCTGCACTCATAATATTGCAATAGAAAAAATGTAGAACATTAGCAGCTTTTAATCCTTTTACACCCCAAGTCTTCACGTGTTTGACCAGCTCTGCTTTGCATTCTGCTGGTCTGCGTCTGGAATAGCCTTAACATTCCAGATAAGGCTAAACAACCCAAAGCATAGCTGGGCCCCACAGCACTTCTGGAAGGTTATATTAGAATTAAGATAATTCAGTGATTTAAGGGTTCACTGGATCCCTAGAGAAAAACTTCTATCCCAGTTTGCAGGGATTTAGCCATTTGGTTGTTATTAATATTGAGCCATGCTGCTGAATTTATGCATTCTGTAAGGAAATAACCTAGATTTCATACTTTCTTTTACGTTGAACAGTAAATTTGACAAATTATAGAATGAATGTAACAAAACCTGTCCTTACTCTAGAATCTTACCATAGCATACGAGGGAAGGCAGGAGAGGCTAAAAATAGCCAGCAAACATCATCATAGTAGGATGGATGCTGGCTTGTCATTCACACAACATGTGGGGTAAAAAATAGAGTTGTGGATGCTGCCAAAAGGCTTAGCTGGGGTAGGTGGGTAAACAGGAGGAAAGGGAGTTGAAATCGCAAAGGGAAAAATAGCGTCATTTCGATCCTGAGATCTCAGTGTGATTTACCTTGGCAGGCAGAAGAGCTGGTTCTTCTGGTGTTTGTCAGAAGGAAATACACACCTGTTCACAACGTGCTTTGAGTGAGAGACGATAAGCCTTGTAGTGCATACTTCTGTTGAGGAAAGGCTGGGTTTTGGACTGCTGAGATTGAAACGTGCCAAACACAATCAGCTGCAGAATCACTCTGGCCAATGCAAAAGAATAATAATTAAAACAGCAACAACAAATTAACCAACCGCTTTTTCAAAAGAAATAGGATTCACTGAGAACCAAGAAAGTAAGGACATTCAGTGAGAGGCATGATACTATCATTACTGACCACCTCGTGCCTCAATCTGTGATTACTTTGAATTTTATTCATAGCAGATGAGATTTTAAGTGTGAAGGTTGCTTAAATAACATAAGGTGAGAGTGAGTGTCCAGTGCAAATATTTAGTCTTACTGCAGTGCAGAATGAAGTGCCTAGCTCACTTGAATGATGAGAGAATGCACTTACCTGGAGCAATTCAGCCTTGATAGCCAATGAAGAGCCATTTTCCATGATGCTTGTGGGCCAAGAGGGCAGGAAAATGACTGAATTCCCCCACTGTGACCAAAGCCAATGGGAGCAGGTTAACCTTGCCCTTTAGGGATTTTGCACCTTCCTCCATATCTGCAGACATCTCTGTTAAAAAAGCCTCTCCCACAGCTAAGTGCCTCTTCCAGAAATTCTCTCATCCAATTAAAAAAAAAAAATAAAGAGAGAGAGAGGCATTTTCTGTCTAATTATAGCCAGTATAGTTAGGACAAAGAAGAAACACTTCTTAGTATCGCACTCTGCTTTGGAATGGAGAAATGAGCCCTGATTTCTACTCCACAGGGCAATCAGGAAGCAGCAGAGCATTTTGGTATTTTGGTAGATCTTCTTGCTGAAATTGCTAAAAGAAAGGGAAGGGAAACAGTTTTGAAAGCTGGCAAAGTCAGCATGTTCTTATTTATAGTTAAAACAATATAAAAGAGAGCAGCTGTAGTGGGAGAGAGATCTGCCAAGGGATACGCAAGTGCTTGAACATTGCCCAAGCACACAACAGACCTGGTTTCAGGTCAGAGAAAAGCAGACAGTTCCAAATCTGCCAGCAGAGCCCAAACTCAGCATAAGATGCCCACAAGTCATCTCCTTTTATCTTGCTGGTTTGTTTTCCTCTGCTGCTCTTCCACTCTGTCCCCTGTGCTCTGAGTGCATTCAGTGCGTCTCTGAGCATACCCAATGCCTGCAAACAATATTCATACAGCTCAATTTGACATCAAGGCCAAAAAGGTTAATGGGATTCTCATTTCCAACTGCAGAAAAACGAACAGTGTGGAGAATAAAAAATAGAAAGCCCTCTTGAGGTCACCCATGAATAAATGGGAACAGGTGTAAGGTCTGCATAACAGCATGTGGCACCACCGCTTCTCACATCCTGCCACATGCAAAACCCTTTTTATTAGCAGGTTCACAAGTGTGTTTTTCAAACGGTAGGGTTAAGAACATCATCACATTTCTGCAATATCCCACCCACATAGTGGGTACTGTAAGAGACATGATAGTCAGGAGTGCACGTGGGACCACAGCTGACATGCACTGATTTGGAGATGTTGGTCTGCAGTGTGAGGGGGAGGGAGGGGCAGGGAGAAGGGAGAGGAGGTAAAGAAAGGGAAAAGAAAGGAAAGAGGAAAGAAAGAGGAGAGAGGAGAGAGGAAAGGGAAAGGAGGGGAAGAGGGGAAGGGTAGGAGGCAGGGGAAAGAGAAGGAGGGGCTGAACTGCCAGGGCTTTTGTGCTACCTTTTACCTACATGCATTTGTGCTGGTGTTGGCCAGTCCCAGAGGGATCTACCTTCACAAAGTCTTGGTTCTCTAGAAAACTCATAAAAAACAAGACAGAAATGACCAAAGCCTGACATTTACCAAGTTTCACATAATCAAATTTTACAAGTTTCAAAAGTGACTCAACAATTACTGTGAATTGCTAAAGAATAAAGTAGCAAATGATAAATTGATCGCCTGCTGTTTCTTTGTGTACTAATTTGTGTTATGGCTTTCCAATCTAAAATTGCTTGAGTAGATTTTTTTTCTTTTTTCCTTTTATATATATATATATTTTAAGCTCAAATTACAAATGAAATGACTGTGGTAAACTGAATGCATCAAGTGTAATGAAAAATTGATCAATTGTAATGTTGTAGGGCTTTTCTGAAAAATGGTTTCTAGACTATCTTTTTAAGTTGAAAATTACAGTTATTAGCCAATTACCAAATAAGAGTGCAAAATCAAATCTGTTTTTTTTGCTAATCTTTTGTTAGAAAGATGGAACAAAACCTGAAACTGTGCACGTCTGCCGACAAGTGTCTTTTTTTGCCTATCGGTGGTGATACACTGATCACATTTTTTGTTGAAATATCCACTTGAGGAAGCATTGGGCTCTGGCTACTTCCTTTAGTAACACTGCTTTCTGAACTATCTTTTTCAATAAAAGTACAGCTCTATTTTACAAGCTAAAAGTCTACACTGACTGTTACAAGTAAGGAGGAGGTGAAGAATTGAAAGCTCAGCATGGAAATGGCTTCTTGGAAATAAAAAATTATGATTCATCTTCTCTGGTACCGTGTTATCAGGGTCTACAAAAGAGAGTGGTTTGCATCGAGAATACTCCACTTACCAACCTGATTTTCTTTTATTTATTTTCTAAAGAACTACAAGGTGCCCGTGCTTTATCTCCTACATAAAGCACTGGTGGACTGTGATGGGGGAAATCTTCATCCCATTCTATCTCACCCTATCCTATCTCATCCCATTCCATCCTATCCCATCCCTGCATGCAAAGCCTCCACAAAGCCCAGATAATCACCAGAGGATGGCCTGGTTTTCTCAGCACAGAAAACATTCTGAGGACACAAATCTCCCCTCCATATTTTGAGTTGTTTTAAGAAAGCATAAATTTTAAACCACATGAAACTACGCTGTGATCACAGTTAGTTCAGTGTAAATGAGAAAAAATTCAGTCAGTTTACCTTCTGCATGGCTGATCCTGATCAAAACACATCTGCCTATAATATGCACCATATGGGGCAACAATTGTCTTGTATTTATTCTTGTGCCTCCTTAATCCCCTGTGTCCCCTGCAAGTGTGCATATCTGTATCTGCAGCTCTAGCAAGATGCCCAGAGAAAGGCATCTTGCTTTACGCACATATAATTATGGAGATGTTTTTCTTATTATGGTAATTACATCCTAAAAGACTGCACAGGTAGCAGCTGTAAATGTAATGAAGGCTCAGCCGACACCAGCTGAACTGGATTTTCTTTTATATCAAAAAGCAGCTTATCACTGAACTCTTTACAGATTCCTGAAACCCTGCTATATTTACGAATGCTTCTGCTACTCCTGGTGAATTAACAGAGATCTGTGGAACAAGCAAAGCAAAGATAACCCAGCAAAATGCGTACCTCTTAGAACAGTGAGTGGGGACAAAATTCCAGTAAATGAAATGAGCAAATGTATTTATGGAGAAGTTTTCATGAACTGGTGCTTAAGGCCATGCTCTTTCATGGCATGGTCCAGTGCCAACAGATCTCATTCAAGTCCTAGGTGCAGAATGAGAAGCTTTCTTCAAAATCAGACGTGCAAGATTCACCCCAAATACCTGACTGTAGGAAATTGCTGGCTGAAGCTGCAACTGTCTTGTTTCTATAGCAGGAAGGTGTTAATTATTTTAATATTAAAGCTAATTATGGCTGTATGCACAGAAACTGTATCTTTCAAGGGCTGAAGGAACAAACACTTAGGATCATTGATAAACTTGGTTTATGGAAATCGTAGAATTAATGTCACACTCCACAGGTAGGAGCACACAGCTTTATATTATCTCAGACTAGGCATGCCTCTGACTATTTCTAGCTCATGACCTTTTATTTTAATATTTTTAAATCCATCCAGAGTGCAGTAATGCCTGCAAAGAGTTTTTGCATCCTCTCAGAGCCTGTTCTGTGACAACCCTCCAAGTTTCAAGCAGTGGCCAGTCCATGAGCAGATAGACAGACAGGCAGGGTTGGTAAGACCTGAGTTTTGGTCAGGGGGAGGTTAGATCTTTCTAGGATGTGCATTAGTTGGGAAATAGAGCATGTCCATTTACAGAGAGAACATTGCTGCAGAACGGTAACGAATACAGCCTTACTCCAAAGGCAAGAGCAAACCCAACCATTCTTCCTAAATATCAAAGCGCTGACAGAAAAACCCATTATAAACATGTGAGGAGCACTTGGCTGCTGAAAACACTGTTGTGCTGGTGAATTGAATGAATAATAGTGATGAATAGTAATAAAGAAATAACAGGAAAATTTGCCTCGTCACTCTGCATATATTAGGATCTAAATCACACCCAGGACATACACAGGAATCTGATGTTTGGCAGCTCTCAGCTGCCTTCATCTGGTGTCCCCTTATCTTTCTGCCAGTCTTTGCTTGCATCCTGGATTCAGGGACAATAAGTTAGTGGTGACACATTCCCCCATGCTATATCATCTGTATGCAGAATTAAACTGGAGGAAATGTCGCCAAAACTCAGCATTTACCAAGAGAGCCATGTGTGGCTCTCAAATTGTAATTAGCCCGCATTGCAGTTTAGGTATGGAAACAGCTCCAATTCTCAAAGGGGTAAACCATGGAATTCAAATTTCCATCTGAATAGAGCCCAGTGGCTCTAAAATCAAAACATGTGAGTTTGTTTTTGCTACTGCTTATTTAGGAAAGCTACATTTGCAAGTGTATGTTCAACTGAGATTAGGGTGTAAGAAAGAACCTTTTCATATTGTGTCATTTTTTCATTCTGGGGGATGAGAGCAAAACAGACCAATCAATAACAATAATTATAATTTTCTTCCTATTGATTGCTCAGAAGTCCTTAAAGGCATCCCCATTAACTTAAAGATAACTTGAGGAGATTTATGAGGTTTTTAATTCTCTTCTGACACAGCAGTAGTGATTTCTATATTCAGAAGCGGAGCCTTCCTGTCTCTGAATTCTGAAGCCAGGCCAGAATTAGTGGCGATGAGACTTGGTGAAGTTTAATAGAGTAATTGACACAATTTGGCTTTGTTGCTTTTTCTAATTGGTATATTCAATAAATGAGGCTACCCTTGCAAAGCAAGGAAGCCACAGAATTTGCCCGTCCTGTACAGCCACACCTTGCTTTTATCTAAGTGATCATGTGTCCTTCCATTTATTCCACAGTTATTTGTTGGCAAATCTATGCTGATAAGAGAGAGCACAGAGAGCCCCAGAGATAGAAAGGTTTCAGAAGACACTTCTGCTGGAAAGCCAGGTCAGGTGTTTGCTAGTGTGGTATTGTCGTCAAAAGAAGCAGCATGGTTCCCTCATCCTGCTTAATGAACACTAAACAAAATGCTTTCATAGAATCAGAAAGATTGGGAAGACCACTAAGGTCATCTAGTCCAACTGCCAATCCATGCCCACCATACCCACTAGACACAAGTCACTCAGTGTGACTTTGCAGCACACCTCTCGTGACAGTGCTCCAAACTCCACATCAAGCTGTTCCCCAGACTTTGCTCACCTTTCTTGCAGGGACTTCTTGTTGTCACCTCCTCTGCTAGCCATTCCTCACACCTTTTTGGTCGTCAGGTAAGAGATGCTTGGCTGCCTCTATCTGCATACTTCTGTGGAGCAGTGCATAGCTCGCTGATCTGTGAAGCATTCAGGGGAAACACCGATGAGAGAAGAGCTTGCATGTAATCAATTCCTTCTTTCCAAACCTCAAGTTAAAAATAGAAATGCATGCCCAGATAAGAGATAGTAGTATGAATAAATAATTGTTTTCTCTGGCCCCCAGTTTGTCAATAGTATATTGCTTTAATTCATAAAGGACCAGAATGATAAGTGACCTCATTCGTAGGTAAATGAAACTCAGATACATCATACAGACAACATCTTTAGATTGTTGGATGATTTTTTTCAATTATACTTTCTCTCAGGGCTAACTCTTTTGTGATGAAAGAAAAAAAGAATTCCCTAAGAATGAAGCATTATATTCACTAATCCTGCCTGATGGGAGCAATCTCTAGTAAGAGTTTTAGTTGCATAGAAAATATTAATAGAAAATATTAAGGGTATTGCATAAAGTATCCATAGGACTGAAGAAAGAAGGAATGGGACGTCTTCCCACTTTGCTGCTTCTAGCACTGGCTGGACTACGCTACAGGAGGAAGTACTGCAGACTGTGTTTTATCTCAGAATGGCAGATCCCCAGAGCTGAACAGTCTAAAGACTGCCTTAAAAGAGAAGTGCTTATCCATAACAGACATACATGTGAAATGGTTTGTAATTGTGCTGAGTTGCCTGGGTTACCTGAAGATGCCTTATTTTTACAACAGTGTAATATCTAAGGGGAAGTGTTGAGCAGCAGACTCCTTGAATACTGTGTCCCTGTTTGGCCTGATTTTTCTTCTTAATTCCATCTGTTATTCAGAACAAATAATACATACGAGAAATGTCTTCTTTCCTCTGCCTTTTCAGTTTCTTTCTAGGTCAAATTTTCTATAATTACCTTCATTTTATACAGTAGTTCATTTATCTCTTTCCATTTCATTCTGTGAACAAATTATGACTTGTTCAAGAGCTACCCATTATGAGTGTGTGGTGTTTATCCAATGTGCTTCATTATTATTTCAGTTCAGTAGGAGGTTCTTCTGCTTCTGAATTATCTGAAAATAGCTTTACTTAATAGCTACTATGGATATAAAAAATATATGATGTTTTACCTATCAGAGGAGCCATGCATGGTTTGAGCTTTTTATTTTAGTTGTCACATTCATACTCACAACGAATTTCTGCCTCTGAATCATTTTAGGAATAAAATTTCTCTCATCAATATGCAGGATAATTGCATTAAATAGTAGCAAATATTGGTGAAAAAGGCAGTGATGTAATCACTGTAATACACTGCCAGATATTTCTTATCTGCAAATAACTTACCTGTCTACTAATGGTGCATCTGTAGCTTGCTTCCACCAGAAGGAATTTTTAGATTTTATAACATCAGAGTCGTCTGCCTTTATTTTGCACACATCTATTAGCAACTTGGAAAGAATATCCCTTTCCTACTGTCTGCCTTCTTTTTCTGCCCAAACTATCTTTCAACATACAGTAAATCATCCTCTTAGGAAGCAGACGGCACTGACAGACTGGAAACTTCAGAAGCTTTCACCTGAGCTTTACTACATCAGTGTAATGCAGCTATTGGCCATGGAAGTGGCTGGTGATGAAAAGCTTTCCTTCTGTCTCTGAGACAAGAGAAAAAAAGCTAGCACAGACCTGAGCTGCCACTGGTTTGAAGCTACAGCTTAATATGCTATGCATTTTGGACTGATTTTTCCAAACAAAAATCCTTCCTAATTTTCCTGTGAAGAGAAAGTCAAACACCCTGGAAAACATATTCTACAACTATGGATTTTAGAGCAATTAACAAAAAATAGAAAATTTCAAAATCTGCAGAGGAAGGATTTCACAAAATAACCATCCATCATATGAATGTCAAAAATAAGAGGATTTTCATCCATAAACTTAAGTAAATGTGTCATATATTTGTGGCCCTGGGCTTTCCCAGAGGGGTCCAGCCAGAAGCCCAGCACAGGGAACCTCTTTCCCAGCCGTAGAGCAATCAGCACATCACCAAAAGCTGCTGTTGGTTCCAATTATCTGGTTCAATCACTGAGCATTCATTCATCCTCCACATAAAAATTATTTTATGGTCTGCCAGCTATTTTCTGGAGCTTTCAGATGCCCTTTAAATATATTGTGTGACTGGCACTGCTTTACACAAAACAAACACGCACATCAGGCTTGTGGACTATATTTCTCTTGGGGTTTTTGAGCTGCCATCACCTATTGATATTATTTGATTTGCTGCCGCTATTCAAAACAAATAAACAAAATCTCAGAGCTTCGTAAACCTTTCTTTGTGTAAGCCACTGATATTTACTGGGAGTGAGAGTGACAGGCAGAGCAATCACACCCACACTCACCTGCCCTCAGAATTAAAAGCAAATGTTTAGAGAATGATTTCCTTTTGAGCTTTCAGCTTTCTGTTCCAATGTTCCTGATGCCCCTCCTGACTGTGAGCATCAGATGGAATGAGTGGGTGCCTGGCTGACCCCACAGCAGTATTTGCAACCAGGGTGGTGGTGGAATCACCATCCCCGGAGGTGTTCAAGAAATTTGGAAATGTGGCACTGAGAGATGTGCTCAGCGGGTGTGCTGGACATGGGTAGGTGGATGGACTTGGTGATTTTAGAGGTCTTATCCAACCTTAATGATTCTATGATTCTATGATCACTGCCCAAGAAGTGCAACACTGGGTGACCCACAATGGCATCCACCGTGGATGGACTTGGAACAGGATAATCTTTGAGGTCCCTTCCAACCCAAGCCGTTCTATGATTTCATGTGTGGAACAGTACAGCAGAAATTCACTTTCTGCTCATTTTCCAGATGCTTGTGCCTTCTGCAGGCAGCTCTCCTTTCACTGGCCAGCCCACAACCATTGTTCACTTCATTTACATAGGACAGCATCCCACACATTAACATCATGTGAATCTCAACCTCTGCAGCGCTGATGGCAGTTTTCCCCATGCCAATAGGGAGACAGATTTTCCAAGCAAACCTGTGTTGTTCCACCGCAGATACACAAACACTGTTTTCACTTAGCAGCTGCAACAGTTATTGGTTTTGTTTGCTCTGAATGTGTCAGAGTATTTCTTTGCAGCAACAAGCTGCTGCAGAATTGCTGAAGTTGAGTGAAGCACAGACATGCGCATCTGAGCAACAGCTCCTAGATGATACAGAGAACTGGCAACAGAAGCAGCTCCTTGCAGGAGGCTATAGCAGATGACACATATAGCTTTCTCATATGTAAAGACGTAAACATCTCCTTTTAGAGGCAATCTAAGCTACACACACAGGGAGAGTAACAGCAGCTCCATACAAGACATGGACACAGACTTTTATTATCCCACAGCAGTACAACTGTGATACTGAGCATTTCATCACTGTACACAAAGTTGACATCTGCACCTGGTATGAATGAAAATGACCAGAAGGCTCCATCTGGTCACTGTGTGGATGCAGGAGGCATGGGCAGGCATCCCAAGGGCCCCACTGTTTCTTTCTGGATTTTCCTTAAATAACATTTTCATGCTATGGTCTGGCTACAGTGATATCTTCAATTATTTTCTCCAGGAAAGACAGTACAATTCTCTTACATAGTGACATGCATGTTAAACTTTACTGTGATTGTCATATGGCTGCAATAAGATGCATTTTCATGAGGAGCTCAGTAATTAAGGGGTTGCCCTGCTGAGACCTTACTGCAAAACTTGGGCAAGTATTGGTTAAAGCTCTCTCCTGCTGACAGCATTTCATAAATACACTTTTCAGGGGTGAGCACATAGTTGTTGTCTCAAATACTGCCAAGTTTAATGAGTAAACACCCCTCTCCTCCCCAACCTTACCTTCCTCCCCCATTTCAGAGAATCATAGGGGTTGGCTTGGGTTTTGCTATTCCAAGTCCCTCCGTGCCCTTTGCATGTCCCATCTACAGCACTGAACGCTTCTAATGCTAATTTGCAAAGTAGTGTTTTCTAAATTACTGCAAACAAAACTATGGGAAGGATGAAAATAATTAGCTGTGTCTCAAAGCCTAATATATTTGCATTGTTTAGACAGAGCACTTAATCATTAGTTGGGCCACAATCTGTTGTGTGAATTTGGATTATTACTAATACGGCTGAGCAGAAGGTTATTAATTACATGTAAATGGAGTTTTTGATATTATTGTTATGGAGAAACTGAATGTTATTAATTACATTACAAGGGTCTCGCAGGATCCAATACTGTGTGTAGAGCCATATTTAAATACCATTTACTCTTAGATGCTTTTGTTTCTTGTTCAGAATGAAGGAATTCAAAGCAAACAAACAGCACAAGCCAGAGCCCTGTTCCAATTAACACTCCGGAAGCTGTGAGTGATATTTAATGAGGCTGTAGGGAAGCTGCCTTTTTAAAGGTTTTTAAAAATAGAGTAAACTTTTTAATGAAATAGACGGTCTGCTGCAACATCACCTCCTTGGGCTGGGACTTGGCAAAGTGGTTCCCAGTGCTGGTTGCAGATCCCCAAAGAGGACGTCTGAGAGAGGGGATCAGATCAGTTTGAGGCACTATTTACTGTTTTTACTTTTAAATGCAATTGTATTAATTCAGAGGAATTTTGCATGGGAATTGCATTGTAGTTTTCACAGTTAAATACTGTGAAATTTGCAGTGAAGACTCTGTTATGCTACATTTTGTCCCCATTTGTCTTGTATACCATTGCTTTGCCTTTGGCACAATAAAAATTATCTTTAAAAACAATGCCAGAAATGGATTGACTTTGACCTTCTGAGTATCTTGTCAATAAAATAAGAATGATAAATCTGTTTCAGAGTGCCACTGGCATAACATTAGAGTGATAATTCAAAAAGCAGCATTTGAAAAATGATATTTTGGGGAGGGTTCTCATTCTCTATCAATAAATATGCTCTATTTACAGTGCAAAGGGGTAATTCTGCTAACTGCCATACTTCCTCTCAAAAGCAAGTCGTGCAGTCCCCTCTGCTCTCTACCAGCTACATCACTGTTAACAATTAAAGATTACTTCAGCAAGAAATGAGCTGAGACTTCTGTTGCTGATGTGCACAGCAGTCCAACTCCACCTCAACCTCCTCTTGTGTCCCACTCTACAGTGTTGATACAGCCACAGTGGGTTTTGCAGAAAAGGAATAAATGGTTGCTAACAAAGAAAAGGCTTTGCTTTTCTACATGATCAGCTTTTGCTAACAAACAACTTCAAAAAAAAAAAAAATGACTGGAAGGCTTCCTTTTATGAGGTGATAAGAAAATACTGAATATTCTGCACTGAATCATGAGAAACATGAAAATAAACAGAATGGGAATGTAAACAAACATACAGTGAGGGGCAGCAGTTTAGAGTCAAACTTAGTGATGCACACACAGGAGCTGTGATGTGCCTGGCTTTATGGGTACCTGCCTGGGGCGAGTCTGACCTGTGGCTCCAATAGTTGCAAGACTAACTCAAGCTTATTTCTAAAGAACACACAGTTGGCTTTTCTCTTTTTAGTATTTCTTGTTTTCATTATTTTTATAAACATGTATTTGAAAGTATGTGAATCATGGAATCATAGAATGATTTGGGTTGGAAGGAACATTAGAGGGCGACAACCACATCCCTTGCATCTCTGCCACCCCTCTTTTGATGCAGCCTGGGGCACAGCTGGTCTTCCAGGCTGCAAGAGAACACTGCTGGTGATGTTAAGCTTTTTTTCCCACCGGTATGACCTTCTAATTTTATATGGTGAAATACTAAATTCCATCATTTCCCACTGTTAGCCTTGAAATCCAAACCAAATCTCAACATAAGTATCATAGAATGGCTTGGGTTGGAAGGGACCTCAAGGATCATCAACCTCCAACTGTCCTGCTTCATGCAGGGGCACCAACATCCATATCTAATACTAGACCATAAAGTAGATACACTCAAGTGATTTTAAGTGGTTACTGCCAGAATCCAGCTATGTTCTTTGATCTTTGTCCTGTCTCACCTTTCAGCTCCTGAGTGCTCCCCAGCTGGACATCGCATCCTCCGCAGCCCATACCGCAGCACCAGGTTTGACTCGCTGGAGCTGCAGCGAACGTCTGCTCAGGTCCTGGTGTGTGACCACTCATTGCCACCAGCATGGTATCGGTTCATGATCAACAACACGCCTGCGGAAATGCCAACGAGATGCATTGAAGTCAGTAAAAATTATGCAATAACCCTGGTGAACGTGAATGAATCTTTTTCCTTTCCAGCCACCTCTATACCCTCATAGCCAGTAGAGTGAAATGGGGAGTGGGAGATAGTGGGAAAAGCTCTTTCATATATCACCACTCTGAAAAGAGGACAGTTTTTTTCTGGTTTTATGTGCATTGAATATATGTGACAGTAATGTTTAATTTGCAGTCAATCATTACTGCTCCAGTAACCTGAGACCCTAAGCAAAGTTGTTACCATATCACATAGCCCAGTTGCAGGAGGTTAGAACAATTTCAAACAAACTAATTCAACAAAACTATTCAGAAAACAATGAACTAGTTACTGTAAATGACTTTACAGATGACATATTCAATCTAGAGTGCCAGGAAGTTTAATTTGAGGTGATGCAAACCCTGCTGGAGAACCTTCATGAAATTAACAGCCATACAAAACAGACCTGTGAACTTGTCATAATGGGTATATCTTAATAATCTAACATGAAATGAAATGTTAATAGGTAATTGTTGCTTGCGTGGGATTTCTAGCTCTCTGCATACACAATCCATAAATCTAATTAATGTGAACAAATTGACATGATTATTATTGAAATATGCATTCAATGGCAGTTATCCTTGAAACAATATCCCAGTGCACTATCTGGTTTATTTTTAAAAAATTGTTCTATAAGTGTGTATGCATTCTATAAAATTATTTAATTTGTCACTGCATTTTAGCATTTTCCAGTATGTAGCAATTCTTAACTGCCTGATATTTTTTTCTGACAATGTATTCTTTGTTTCTTCTAATCTCTTCTGTGGAGTGTGTTATTCAGGTTTGTACAGCTATATTCATTAGTTTAGTTCTTTATCTTGTAACATAATTCTTACCATTGGTTTCTTCATTATGGTCCAAAAGACAGTAAAAAACAGTTTTACTGTTGAAGGATTGCATCTGTTAGATGTCACGATTGGAAGAATATGCTTCTTTCAGATCTTCACCTTCTAAGTCTGCCTCCACGTTCCATCTCTTCCACTTAATTAAATCATTGTTTAATTTGGTTTTCCATTTAATTTGAGCAAAAACCTCTGGAACAAAATAATTTAAATTAATAACTGCACAGCTTCCACTCCCTAATAAGCAGTTATTATTGGGCATTCTAGTCTCTGGCTGGAGTGAGCTGATTTTAATTAAACGAATCAAAGACAAAATCCTCAACAGACAGAAGGGAAAGGCACCAAATAAAGCCTGACAGTAAAGCTTGGAAGTTAAAAAGTACATTACTCCAAAACCTTGTAAAATATGTGTCTGCTGATATTCTGTTGATACTAGCTGGATGCAATTAGCTGGTTATCAATAGATAAGATTAACTTCTTAATTCAAAGCCATAGTAGGTAAGGATCTTTATCACCCAACTAAGCTCAAAGGGGATTTAAATAATAACAGAGATTTAGAAGTCCCGTCCTGACTAAGAGACAATTGCAGGAGGAGAAACATCTCATGATGGGTGAGCAAATGGGAGGTTACAACCACAAAATCTGAATCTTGCCACTGAGCAGCTCTACAACAAGAAAAGAAGATACCCCTATACTGTTGAGTAGCCACAGAAAGCCTTGTGTTCAACAGAGGGCAGAACCAAGTCACAAACGGAAGCAAGGAAAAACACTCTTAAGAAGCACCTTCTCACCCAGTAATTAAAGCAAGTGGAAAACTAAGGGAATTGTGTTCCAGAATTCTCCATCCCTGGAATCTAAGTGTGGTCCTTAAGCATTTCTTCAAGTGCGGAAAAACTTTAGATTCAAGTGGATTACAAACTTAGGCCTAGTCTGTTGAATTATCCTGGGGCAGAGAAAGATCCTCACCCTCCATCTTTGAATTACATAGAATTACAGAACCATCAAATATCCTGAGTTGGAAGGGACCCATCATGATCATCAAGTCCAACTGCTAGTTCTTAGTTGCCTTTCCCCCTATGCTTCCAAAGAAGGCACAGCAATTGCACGGTCCTGGGCATGCAATCTTGGCCACAGCCACTTCCCCATCCAACAACAAATAATAGCAAAAAGCACACAGACTTGAGTATTTTGTATTCCCAAGTATCAAAGCTATGGCCTACTGTTCAAAAACAATAAATTGTTTTTAAACAATTGCCAAATTCACTGTAAAATGAAACAAACGAACAAACAAACAAATCTTAAAAGGAAGAAGGGCTACCCCTTGAAGTAAAGGCTTGTAGATAAGGCTTTACTGAGTTTAAAGATGATAGCAACATGCTATTCAGAGAAAATCTATTTAAAAAAATATAGAGATGTATTTAAATACCCATGTGGGAAACAAAATGATATCAAGCACAGAAACAGGCTTCCAAATAAGAGTAATATAGGGTGCACACATATGTCTGCATGCATAGATTTACACATACACATGGGCATGCCCTATGAAAGCAATGAATACTACAAAGAAAGGAGAGAGAACACAACCTTCAGATAAGAGATCACTCTGTGGATTACAGAGGAGCAGCACATTTTGCTACCTGAATGCCAACAGTTGCCCACAGTTCACAGCAAACCCAGAAATAGAGCTGTACCTTCCTTCCTCTTGTTTACACAGGGGTAAAAATGCATAGATTTCATTGCAATCTTAAGGGAGAATGTCAATTAAGAATTTGATTATGCAAATAGTAATTGGATCAGGAGGCAGCAATAATACTCCTGATACTGCATGCATGAGTTGGATTCATCACTTCTCAAAGCAACACTAATATTGTCAGCTCTGGGTAATCGATTGTAAATAGAAAATGATAAGTTGAAAAGAAAGGGATTAAATCCAGACTCACCACTAGCACAACTATCAGTAGCACACATTTGTCCTCTGAAATTGAGATTTTTAATACCCGTGCTGCTCCGGCAAGGATGTATCTACAGCAGAACTGGAGATGTCCCACTCTATGACAGCATTTTGGAAATGCCCAGTAACACCTACCCATCACATCAAGATTACTCCCAATATCCTCCTTCAGAATTTTCTCTCTCATTTTTCTCTCTTTTTCTCTCATTTAAGCAAAACTATCTCCAAAATCGTGCATTTAAGTTCATGTACAATTAGTATATGTGGTGAAAGGACAAGCAGTGTTTTCAGGGTTGGTGTTTGCTCAACAGTTGCATTTGTAACAATATAAATTTTCTTTTATACACATAAATAGTAGGCTGTAACATGGGCTGACACGCTAATCTTTTGTGTATCAAACATGGACATTTTAAGTATGCCAAACACAACCTGCCAATGATGCCTGATATTGTAGCCCCTGGAGAAGAAGATTTATTTTTCCCATGCTCAGTGTAATTTCCTCCTCTACTTAACCTGTTGTAGAGCATTTTATAATCACAACCAAAATAAAATATTTCAACTGTATGCTATTATTTTTTATTTTGTTTCAGTTTTTATTTTGCTCTAAATCCAGTCCCCCTTCAATTTGCATTTTTTTATGAACTTAAAAGCAAGTAACACTATCAAGGTATTATTTCATGTTTTCATCTGCAATTCTCTTTCTTGTAAGTATACATGAATACTTCAACATCATAATGGTAGGTATGATGAGGTTTTGTTTTTCTAGTTTGTTTTTCTGACATGCAAAAAGCATTCTGTAGATAAATTGCAATTACAGTCTCTATTGTTCAGAAGCAAGTACTTAAAAGAAACACAAGACACACAGTGGCTTAATTGCTACTACAGATATTCCTGACGTAAACCAATTTCTGTGGCATTCAGCCTGAGATTTCAATAAAAAAAAAAATCTTATTTACTTTAACTTACTACAAAGGAATTGAAAAAAACCAACTGAGGCAAAGTAAAGTTTTGAGTGGATAACAGATGCAAAATCACAATGCTTTAGCAGTCAACCAACAATATACCAAAAAACCTTCTATCTCGCTAACTAAAACAATGCATTTCTCACATATGGTGCTATTTATTTTTAAAAGCATAATTTCAGTGCAATACCCAAGTGACAAGAACAATCAAGCTTGATTTCTTTGTGCAATTATAAAGAACCTCAGAGAGTTCCATCAATCAAACTAGTTGATTGTCCAAACTCCAACTAAATGGAAGGAGATATCATTGGATTACACAGTAATGGTTTGTCCCATAACTATTGGCAACAGGAAACAAATTTAATTTTTTCATTTAGGCTTAGTGAACCAAATTATTTAAAAGATTAGCTGGTGCCTAATTGTGATGCAAAAATACCTAATGAGTGCTTACCTGCCACAAAAAGGTGTTGTGAACATTAATTAGGGCATGTTTATAAAACGCTTTGAAGATCAAAACCAGTGCTTAACTACTACTGGATAAAGTACAAAAGTACACTGAACACTCAAAAAGCCTTTCAACTGCATAAAAACTGCTTTTCTGAGTGCTAGAGAAGCTTTCTTTTGTCTAACCAGTGTCACAGAGTACCTAGAGATGCAACAAATGACCTAGATTTGGGGTTAACAACAATACAGTTTATGTCACTAACTTACCATTACGTTGGCAAAGTGCAAGTCCAAGTAAACGCATCAAATGAAGTAACCAAACATACCTTGTCCACTATAGGGAATTTTAATCAGGCATCCATTAAGATTCACATCCTCAAAACCATATGAGAGAATTTATAGGGAGAAGACTACCTACTGGTAGACCTACAAATGAACTCAGAAATAAAAGGACAAACTTTGGGCAGTATTGCTCTACCATACCTTAGTTTTCTTCCTGCTGCATAGCTCGATTTCAAGGAAGAAATGCTGATATTTTCCTCACCGCAGCACTAGTGCTGCCATGTGCTGTAAGTGATGCAGACTGCCTGGATAACTCCAGCAAACCCATGGTCTGATTCCCACCATTGACTCCTCAGCAGATAAACTCCTGCCTGCAAGAAACTTTCAGTCTGCTCTGGTGTGGAGGCAGCTGTACAACTCTCATTCTTCATTTCAGAAGTGCTGCTGAATTACGGTGTGAGATTCCCACGGCTTTTTTCTAATCTTAGAGCAGCAATGACTGTAGTTATTGCAAGTAAAAGCTATGCCTTAAATGCCAATCTTTTGCTACCTCTGTATTCAATTTTCTGTTTACTCTCCCAAATGACTGCTTCAACATTTACTGCTAATTATGCCACAGCTGGAACCCGAACATTTTGGCTCTTTGAAATCTCTCCTCCTAGACATTTTTCCCTTTTTTCCTTTGTTTTATTCTGTTCTTATCTGTGCTGCTCATTGAATACATGAATATACAATTGCCCTTGTCTTCCCAGTTCTGTTTCCTAGTACACAGAGGCCTTGCACAGCAAATCCTTTTGGCCAGCATGGGGCAATTTGCCCAACTAAGGTGGACAGCGTGCATCTCAAAGCAGGAAGTGAACTTGTTGGCCTCATAAAGCTGCTGGGAAAACACAAATTCTTGATCTATACCAAAATTCTTTGTTGGCCACTGCATCATATAATTTGTTCCAATTACTGTTTTCTCACAGTCTGCATTTCCTGGTTACAACGTCAGTCAAAAGGGTTCATCATATCTTGTAATTTGTGCATATTACATAATAAACAATTTCACTCAGGTGGTTTCAGCACGAGATTTGCCAGAACAAAGCCAGGGTGCTGTGGATCACAACAGGGGTTTATCGGAGAGCTTGCACACAATGCTGGGGGCTGGCTCCAACAGGGCTAATCCATATTTTCTCAGGCATTGAAACAGCTCACAGACTTATGGCAAGGATAAAATACAATGAGGGAGAAAATCACTGCCTTCTGATTTCAGAGGGATTTTTGTTGCTGTTGTTGTTGTTTTATTTTTTTCCTGTGTGTTTAGAGGGGACACAGACCCACTTTTAGGTACAGATTGCATTTTGCAGCCAGAATGCACTCGCATCTGTCTATTTATCTACATGGCCCACAGCACTGTAGATATACGAGTCTCATTAATGAATTTGTCTTCTCAGTACTGCTGCAGAGAAGCGCTATCAACGTTCCAACGACCCCTTATACCACTGTTTTAGAGATAAGGAACAAAGGCACATCAGCAGCAAGGGGTTGCCCAAGGTTGGGCAGCTGATGGGGAAACTGAGGCACCATGCCTACCTACATGTTGAAGTCACTTACTCAGGTCAAGGTAGAAATGAACAGGTGGAAGAGCTTGTTTTCTGGTCTTTCTAGTTCAACTGCTCCCACAGTTATCATAAAAATAAAAAAAAAATCTTAAGAAGTGAAGCAGCAAAGCTGGCTGGGCCAATGGAAAAAAATGTTAGTGTTTTTTTTTTGTTCTTTTTTTTTTCCCCAATGTGATCTGTAGCCAAATGTCCACAGCAGGAGGGAGCATGTTGCTGAAGCTGAACAATTAGATATAGCGTTGCTCCCTACCGCGGGCTGAGGAAATGCAAAGCAGCTGCAGCAGACACTCTCTCTGTGGAATGTGACTAATATATGAGAATTGATTATTGCTGGTGTTTGGTTTTAATTTGCAAACCTTAACTCAAATATTACTCTGCTTTGCATACTGGTGAATGATGGGTAACAGTACAGAGTAACAAGGAAGCACTGCAATTGACTGTGAATATTTTATCCGGTGAGGATTTTGCCTAAACTCCTCGTTGAAGTAGTAAAATTAAAGACAGCTTTGGGTAATCACATGTCCTTAGCCCATGTCAGGGCTGAGATGCCTGAACATCCCTCTGTAAGATCAGAAAAGTACATTTGGTGCTTAGCCACAACCCAAAATGCCATAATTTTAAGTATTTTAGGATCAGCCCTTTCCAATGTGTGAGCCTCCTGCTGTGGTTGGTTGCAGTACTCAGTGACTTCAGGGACCTAATCTGTGGATTTGATTGAATCTATCAGACTATAGAAAACTGAAAGTCAAAAACCCCAGAAAATTTGAGCAATTTATATACATCACTTGCATCCGTTTTCTTTCAAGGACAAGGAAGAGGGTTAGCCCCAAAGACATGCCTGGGCCATCCTGGGAGGCAGGGCAAGAGCTGTCAAGGCAACAGCAGCTGGGCTGACCTGAAGTAAGGTCTCTTAGGACAGGAAATAACAACCTTAAGTTTCTGCAGAGAAGGTTGAGGCTGGATATTAGGAAAAAATTGTTCTCAGAAAAAGTGGCAAGATATTGAAACAAGATACCAAAAGAAATAGTGGAGTCACCAGCCCTGGAGATGTTCAAGAAATACAGAAACACAGCATTGAAAGACGTGTTTAGCAGGCTTGGTGGGGGTGGGCTGGGGTTGGACTTGGGGCTTTCAGTGGTCTCTTCCAACCTTCACAATTCTAAGATTCTAAAGCATTGGCTGGGATGTCTTGAGCACTGTAGCATCCTGCTGGTTCCCTACAATCACAGTCCTTGGTGGCTCTCCATTCAGTCCTACCAGCTTCTGACAAACTCTTTCTTTTGTGCACATTCTCAGATGAACAAATGTGGGACACAAGCTCCAGTGTGGCTGTCACTGAGGTCTGAATCCCTGCCTGCTCCAGGTGAAAGCAAGCACCTGATGGCCTGTGGTACCTGGCAGGTCTTCGGGGGCACGAAAGACTGCTGCTTGTTCCGGATACCCATCACTGTCAGGAACTGCATCAAGTTCTTTGTTTATCTCTTGCAGCCGACTCAAGGATGCATGGGCTACTGTGCAGAAGGTGAGGATCAATTTCATTCATCAGTAGGACTGTCTCTGTTACTCTTGCTGCTGTTCAAAAGTCCTGGTACTGCAGTACACATCTCAGTGACCTTGCAGTCAAGCATCACTCCCAGTAAGATGCAGACCACGTAGAAAATAAATCAGCCACATTCCAAGGTGCTCCCGAGGTATAAGTATTATTGCCAGCACACAATGGAAACTGGTTTGTGTTACTGAATAGCTTATGTGGTTACAGATCACTTGTTACCTTTCCTTCTGTATTTCACTCCATTTTGGCTTGAAGATGCACAGCCAGTGATTGGAAGCATCTTGGTTATAACAAGGCACTGTATGCAGAATAGTTTCTAAGGCTTGTTCTTATCTTAAATAACCCAGTATCACCCAGAAAGATAATTCTGAAACTCTGAGAGGAAAAATATTCCGATAAAAATCTTTTTCATGACATATATGTAATTATTCTCATCAGAAATAATTTTCAGCCTACTACAAGGGATCTAACCTCTGTTCCGTAACTAGGAAACAAAGGAAATAGCAGAAAGCAATTGCTCACTCTGTTAAGCCTTCTGAACTTCAGTGCATGTTCAGGTGCATATAGATTTAGTTAGAAAAGATGATTCTTCCTCAAAGAGGAAAAATTACCATTGTAATTCCCTTTCAGCATTTTTTGGACAGAGACATGACACACTGAGAAAATAGGGTTATCGCCTTTCAATTAGAAAAAAAGCTTAAATAAATTCCAAAGAGAGAGAGATAACTATGTTCTTATCTTTATCAATATTTTATCGTTCCCACAAAGAGAAAAGAAGACAGGAAAAAAAAAGGCTTAAAGAAAGATAAATTTACTATTTTGAAAAAAGAAAACTAAAATAGTGGTACTAAAGTAAATGAAGCTGCTCTTTAATTTACATGATTCTTTCTGAGAAATGACTTTTTTTTTTTACCTGAAAACCCTCATTTTTCAGTAAACTTTCAGTTGAAGAAGCTGAGCTTTCTCCTACGCTTGAAGACTTTTTACCAATACCATTTCAGTCATTAGTTCTGTACTTTCTGCCAATCCATACCTATTCAATAACATTAATACACCTGCATCTTTCATAAAAAGAATATTAAATAGTTTTTCCTTTCCCCCTCTATTCCAAAGCAATGACTTTCTACCATTGGTGTTGAAGCTTTCTATTTTATTTTTTTTTTCCCCATATATATTTCAGTAATTCTTTAGCTTCTTGATTTAAGGATGCTTTCAGAATATTGTGCAATGGATGGAAAGAATCCAAGGCTGAAGTTCTGGAGGGATGTTGACACATTGTCTGAAATCCACTAAGCACTGGACAAGTGTTAATATATCGGTTCTCCATTCTGCCTCACGCCTTACTGCCTTGTGCTTCCATAATATTCTCTATACTCCTTCAAAAAAAGTTTCTTAAAATATCTTTTCAAAGGCCCTGCACCAGCTTCTTGTTCTCTTCAAGTCCAAGTCTCTGGAGATGAGAGAACATCATCCTACAACATTAAATATCCTTTTATTTCTCCTTGAGAGGAAGAAAACTATCGGAGCTCATCCTCTGTCAAAGCCTACAGAAATAGGCTGTATTTTTAGAGGAGTAGAATTAATCTGGGCAGAGTGAGACTATACCGAGCAAGCTCATCCTAGGAATGTCCCAGCACAGCCTGGAAAGGATCCTCACAGCACAGTGATATGAGTTGGATGCTATTTGAGTTCGCTTCTGCAACATCATTTGTTCTCATATCTCTTCTGTAACTTACTGAAAAACTCAGGTCAGAAGGTTCTGCTTCTGGGAATGCAAAGCTGGCAGCCTTTGCTGAAATAATTGATTTGTATTAACCCATGTGCTTCATTTCAATAATGCTGTTCTGAATGCAAAATAAAAAAACAATATCCCACGTCTAACATTATAGCAATGGGCAATCAGTACCAAAATAGCTACTTTTGAACTTCATATGAAATACTGTGTCTTGTTTACATAGCTAATTATCAAATCACAAGAATATAGATGTGGCATTTCTCTCACATTTAGCTATATTGAAATCTTCCTGTTGAGTGAGCGATTCTAATATTAAAAATGTTTAATATTATTATTATTATCCTGAATCGTTCTGCTTTGCCTTTCAGAAAAACTCCCAAGCCTGACTTTACATCCAGTGATAACTTCTGAGCTCGTGCGAGGACGCGCCCACCTGAAATGCGCCTACAGCTCACCCAGCTGGGGGCTGAGCTACACGGTGCTCTGGTCACGTCTGGTCGCCCCGGGCAAACAGGAGCAGATCCATCAGGACACCACCCTGCAGACGTGTTCCTACCTGGAGATAAGCAGCAGACATCTCCAGCTGGGAGACACAGTAATGCAGCAACGCGTGGTCCGGCACTCTGCAGGGTCAAATCCCATCTGAAAGCCCCTCTGGGTGTATTCTAGGGCTGCTCCTCGCTCGTTACATTCACATCTAAAGTGAAAAAAAAAAATATATCAAAATGAAAGCTTGATTTCAAACAGGCTTATATAATTTTTGTCAGATTTAGGACACCTCATATTTCTTCGGATTGCATGGTGCTTGTTGAAGCTGTCCATTTTACTGTTTTCTAATGGTAGCCTTACACATCCATTACAGCCTGAACACCATAAAGCTGGTACAAGTAATAGAAACATGTGCCTGAGACAGTTCTATCTTAGTGTTTGTTGTACTGTGCAGCAGCAAGAATCTGCACTAGACACAGACACAGTTATATGCACTCAGTAATTTTTATACTCGTGGACCAGAGACACAATAGCATCTTTTCACAGAAGAGAAAGACAGTACATTTTAAAATAGAGGTTTATTTTTATGATCTTTTTCATGGTGTTCTGCCTCTCTGATTCCAAATTTGTGGTTCAATAGTATGCTGAGAGATAGAATTCATTACAAAACAATCTTTAAGAAGTGTATTTGATGGCTTACATGGCAACACAGATCTAGCGTCAACAACAACAACAAAGCTGAAGCCAATACAAGATGTGGAAAAAATTGACTTGTGTATGAATTCACGGCCTTTCATGGTACTAAAAAAGACTTTAAAAGTTAAATTAGGTTCATAACTTTTACAGGCAGAGAGCCATTAGTGATGCTACAATGAACTGAAAGAATAAACAGGGATAATGGCTGTGTGTTAAAAGTAGGTTGGAAATAGTCTTGACATTTCACAGCTCCTCTTTGATATAGTTAACGAATAAGCTTTTTGCAGTTCTTGAAGAGATGAATCATTTATAACCATGGCACAATCTAGATAGGTTTTTCTCTTATTCCTCCTCATAATTATGCCTCCTGAGTTCGGAATCTGACGGATGCAGCCTTCACTTATATTACAACACTGGGCAAAAAATTATGCCAGTTTTCAAGACAAGTTTGTGTTACGAAGAGATGTTTTCATCAAAGCAATCTCACGTGTAATCACTTCAAATCTAGATTTAACAATCCGGAGGGATTCAGAGAAAGTATAGTTCTACTAACTAGTTTCATCACCAAATCCTTATAAGATCATTTTTATTATATTAAGTTTTCTGTAAGCCCTTCTTGACCTCTCCTGAAAGCCACATGTTTAATTTAGTTTGATGGTTTGCTTTGATGAGGCTAAAATGTTCCTTTCCTTGCTAGAATTTTTTTTTAGTTATTCTTTTTAAACAAAATTTGCAGCCTTTTTGATTAATTACAATTAGCCATAAATCATCATTGTTGAAAGCCAAACAACAAAGCCCCAGCTGAAGCTGGGAATTCAGTTTTAGATAGTAGGGATTTTAGAAAAGTACATATTTGCCATCCCACCCAGAATTTCTGATAACAGTCAGAAAGGGCTGGATGCTCCTTTCACTTCCAGAGGTGTAAACCTGAAGCATCTCTATAACTACTGATAGGGCTACCATGAAGGAATGGTAATGCCACCCATAGGGAGGTGCAGACCTCAAAAACTAAACTTTGCTGCTCAGATGTGGTTTGGGCCCAGGATGTTGCAGACAACATGTAAGTGGAAGGATTTTTCCTTTTTTTTTTTTTTTTTTTTTTTTTTTTAATTACTTTTGCAATGATTTATATTCAAGCTATAGTTTATCTATCAGAAAGTCCCCAGGTAATGGGTTAATCATATATTATCAATATATTTTAATACTCAGTCAAACCTTAGAGAAGAATAGAGATTTACCAGCCAACATTTCTGAATTTGCATTGACTAAACAGCCAGTTCTTTTTTAATAGCTGTCAGGTATGCATTTCTCCTCCATCTTTTGGCTCCAGTTTTGTTATTTCAGACAGTAATGTTGGCAGCATAACGTTCATGAAACTATTGCTGCTTTAAATAAATCTATAACACGCCGCTGTTTCTATTTGGGCACTGAAAGAAGCCTACTCCATGTGATACAAAAATCCTGGCATTCTGAAGCCTTATTTATGCGATGGTGAGAGAGGTCATTTAATTCCTTGAGGCATAGCCATCTATAAATTATAGCGGCACACTGTGAGTAATGAGTTGTGCTAAGGAAGGTGTTTAGAAGAAAACTGTGCAATTTTGCTCAGTGCAGCAATCTCAAAGTTCACACAATGAGGAGCAATTTTCACCATACATAAACTGTCATATAGTCATTAAGGTTGGAAAGACCTCTAAGATCACCTAGTCCAACTACTGATCCATCCCCAAAATGCCTACTAATCATGCCCCTCAGAGACACACCAACAGGTTTCTCGAAAACCTCCAGAGATGGCAATAAACTATGATAGTCATTGCAAAAAAAAAAAAAAAAAAAAAGTGTTTTACTTAAATATTTGCTTAAACAGACTGGGCATTTTGTAGGACACTGCAATACATCAAAAACGTGCAACACATCAAAAATCCAGCCAGAAGACCATAAATGAGTACCTTGATGTAGAACAGAGCTAATTTTCACACTCGAGAAAAAAAGGAGTGAATTTTCCCAGTGCTTAAATATGAAATTGATCCCAGCCATTGGACTTAGCACAGCCACAGAAATAGGAAAGACTACCTTTTTGTAGATTACACCTCCTCTTAAAATTTACTTCTGAATCTTCAGGCAGAGAGTGAAGAGCATTTCCACAGAAACAAAGCTCCAGGTGGGCTTGGAATGAGGGTAAAGCAGTGACAAGCAGAGCTTCTAAGGAGCTATCTCACTGCTCCCCTGGAATACTTACCTTCAGCTCTGCTCCTCCTTTCTCCTCTTACTGGCTTTGAAGCACAGCTGCTCCCCATAGATCCACTCATCCAGCCCTGGCCCATTGGCGTTAAATTGAGCAGAATAGGACATTTGGAGGCCTTTCAAGCCATCACCAGACACCCTCTCACCTGTCAAGATCAATTTCCTGCCAATCCTTCTCTTGCAAGCCATCAGTGTGCATGAGAGGCTCTATCTTGCTGCCCCTTGACTGCCTTTTGACATGGGCTGTGCAGCTCCAGTTCTGGTAGAGAAAATTGTCTCAGTCTTCCATTCTGGCAGCACACAGACATCCCTGTCCAGTCAATGGGCACAGGTATCCCCAAGTGCTCATCCCTCATGTTGAGAAGAGAATTCTCCACAGATGGCCAATGTTAATTACCAACCTGAGCAGCTTCAGTTTCCTCGCCTCTCACAAGACTGACTGTCTGGGTCAGAAAGGTGCTTCCATCCACTCCCAGTACTCCAACCTGGCAGCTCTCCTCATTTTGGGGACAAGTGTCACTACCCTGGGAGGAAGCTCTCACTGCATGCTCAAGCTCCCATAGATGATTCCTGCAATGCATTCAGAACTAATTAGAGATGTGGAAAAGAGTGAAAAATAAGGGTCTTTTTCTTTTTGAAATGAGTAGAAAGGACAAATTTGGAAGAAATTTACACTCAAGAAGCTTTGAAAAAAGTATGATGATGTGCAAGTTATTAAGAGGAAATTTGCTAAAGATTGTGACAGCTTCCAGAATTAAAATACTCTCCCATCATTTCCCAGAGCTACCAGACCTCCGCCAAATCAATGGCTGAACTCTGCTTCCCACTGAGTATGCAGCTCACAGGATTCACTGTGAAGTAGGAAGAAACCTGAGTCCACTTAAAGGCATAAACCTGCTCCAAAGCACAGGAAATAAGGCATTTCTTATCTACTAAGGCATTTTTCTGGCAGGAATTTGTGCCTATAAGTTTTCTGCCCTATAGGAAGATACACAGAGAAGAAGCAGCCCACAGCTGGCAGGGATCAAGTTATCAAGCACACCCTTAAACTCTGTCCCTTTAAAGGGGATGCTGAAAAAAAATATTATTTGATATTTTTTTTTTTTAACAGATCTAATGAGTTTGTGGAAAGCTACTGCCTAATATGTCATTGGCCATCAGCATGCAGCTGTCAGTGCTGCTTTTATCTCTTTGTTTTAAAAAAGCAGCATTCGTAGATGGAGAAGGGAAAGAGGAGAAAGAAGAAGTTGATTACTGAGCTGAAGAAAAATGAGTGTTTAGCTGAAGGCAAAAAAAAAAACAAACAAAAAAACCCTCGCAGTGACTATCATAATAATGATGTGACAAACTGTCAACCTGTAGCTCCGCAGCCAACGAACACACGGGCTGGTTGAGCACCTCATGAGGTAAAGGCTTTACAAGCAGAGGCGCGACAGAAAGACAGGAATGAAATGTAGCTCGTGATGGGTGTCTGTACACTGAGAGTTGGGTGAGCTCTGCTCACTTCCAGTACGTAGAGCTAGTACGAGCTGACAGTCTAATAATATCTCAGCACATCTTTACGGAGCTATTTTTGATGCAGATTTTTTATCAAACACACCTCTCTTCTACAATGTGAGAATACACAGTATGTGCAGGGAATGGGGCTGGGTCTACCCACTGCCCAGGGGTTTCTGGCAGATGCCCCCCACCAGCACCACTGTGTGTGCAGCAAGGTGACTCTATTTGAACATTCTTGGTAAAAAGCAGAAAAGCACAAACAGCATAGCAGCTGTAAATACAGCATCTGCAATGCGGGTGTGTTGGATTTGCTTACTGAGTTCTTCTCTCTCTCTTTTTTTAATACAATTTTTATTGTTTTTATTATTATTTTATATTTGCTACTGTTTATGATTACCTGAACGAGAACATTCGTCTTTCTCCTTTGGAGGCAAACTGGTTAACAACATGATATCTAAGGGATTCTAACCTTAAGGCATTTCTGAGACTTACATCACTTTTTTTCCAGCTTGGAGAGGTAACAAAGAGGGATTTTTTCTACAGAAAAGGAAATACTTCAGAGCAGTGGGCAGTCCTTGTCCACAGGATCACAGAATCATTGAATCATTAGAGTTGGAAGGGATCCTTAAAGTGATCTACTTCTACTCCTCTGCAATGAACAGGGACATTCACAGCTCCATCAGGTGCTCAGAGCCCCATCCAGCCTGACCTTGAGTGCCTCCAGGGATGGGACATCCACCACCTCTCTGGGCAACCTACGCCACTGCCTCACCACCCTTAATATAAAAAACTATTTCCCTATATCCCATCTAAATCTCCCTTCTTTTATTTTGAAACTATTTCCCTTTTTCCTATCACAAGAGACCCTGCTAAAGAGTCTGTCATGTGAATCTGGAAATGTTTTGGCTTTACATTGGTTTTGCTGGCTCCAGCCATGAAAGTAGTGTCTGAGATGGCCAGTGAGAAACATGAAGAGCCTTTGAATCTGTCCAAAGGAGCTCCTCACCACAGAAAGTAAATCACATCAGTCTGCTGCTTCTTCATGGGTCACCCGAGGCTTCAGAGAGACAGCAACTGTAAATATGCCATCTGACCATTTGGTATTGATTTATTGTGACACAAGCTCTTATTCCATTTCCAAGAAAAAAGGTCCCCAAAAAATGAGAGCTACAGTTTCAGTGCTCGCTGTAAGTTTGCTTCAAGGAAAATTTCTGTAGTTTAATCTTATGATCCTAGAAATGATGTTAGCAGTTTGGGTTTCGTAAAAGCAATGAAACATTAAGATGGCAGATGGTGCATGGGCTCAGCAGAGATAAAGGTTGCGTGACTGTGCTAGGAATCAGACATAAATGGCGTGGCACAGCACATTGTGTTTGGTGGGGTTGTTTTTGCTGTTGTTTTGGGGAAATTATTTTATTATTTTTACACTATAAACCTCGTAGGTACATCTGCACCATCTTTTTATTGCAATAAGAAAAAAGCAAATTCTTCTATGAAAGCTGACGTTTTTTCTGAGTCTGGATGACTGTCAAATTAATTTATATTTAAAAAAAAAAAAACATTTTAAAACAGTGAAGCCTAGAATCCAAGGGATGGAACACCTTCTCTATGAGGACAGCTAGAGAGAGCTGGGGCTGTTCAGCCTGGAGAAGAGAAGGTTATGTGGAGACCAGATAGCAGCCTTTCGGTATCTAAAGGGGGGCTGTAAGAAAGAAGGGGGGAGACTCTTTAACAGGGTCTGTTGTGATAAGACAAGGGGAAATAGTTTCACACTAAAATGGAAGATTTAGCCTGGATATAAGGAAAGAGTTTCTTGTAATGTGGGTAGTGGAAACAGTGGAATAGGTTGCCCAGAGAAGTAGTGGGTGTCCCATCCCTGGAGACACTCAAGGTCAGGCTGGACGTGGCTCTGAGCACCTGATGGAGCTGTGGGTGTCTCTGTTCATTGCAGAGGAGCAGGACTAGATCACCTTTAAGAAACCCTTCCAACTCAAACAATGCTATGATTCAGTGATCAAGGGCCAATGTCCTAAACTTGACCATAACACCCACAAACAGTGCAAGTTCCCCTAATTAAAATGAGTTAATATTAAAACCCTAACAAGGTGCTTGGATAACTGAAAAAGAAATTGTATTTTAATATTTAGTGTTATTAATTCTTGAGATGGAAGCTATGTTTCTTTACTTGTTATAGACATCAAAAAATCTCTCAGATCTCAAAGCTTATGCATAAATATTTTCAACACCTAAGCCTCCAAAATCTTTTTCAGTGGTAAAAAAAAAAAAAGAAAAAAGAAGCTCTACAACCCAGATGAACAAGAATATACATAGCTATATTATTTTCATTCAACAAAAGCAAATACTGTTGACACTGTTTGTTTAATGCAGGTCTTCTGCACTGTGACTGCATTTGCAAGGGACACTCCTGAGCAGTGGTCATTGCCTGAGCAGAGCAAAGGTTTCTACGCTGGGATTAAGGTAATGCCATTGGCCATGGTTCACTGATTTCTCCAGGATACCTCTGGGTAATATTCATATAGTATCTGAGACGCTCTGGAAAACAAGGCACAGAAACATAGGCCATAACCAATGTTGCTTTTAGGTTCACTTTGAGAAAAAGTCGTAATAAACTGTGGGACTTTCAGAAGATTTGCAACTGGAGCACTCACCAGAGAAGCATGCAGGCGTTGACACTAATGCAGCACAGAGAATGTGCACAACTACATCTGCTAGTAAACATGCCCCAAAGTACTCTGTGGTTATGTATAAATGGAAGCCACACCTACAAATTGCAGAATTTTATTCCAACTACATCGAACCAAAATGAATAAATATTTGACTTTTTATCTACTGCCCCCTTACGGCCAGGCACTACAAAGAACATACTGCTGAGGGTAAGTCACAGTCAGTACAAGGTCTGGGTCTGATCCTGTCCAAGGATGGGACTGTCAGTCTGGCAATCCTGGAGATTTGGATATTTGAATATTCCAGAAATGAGATCTGGAAAATCTGGAAGCCTGTTCTGTGTAATGCTGGAAGAACAGTTAAGGGCTGTGAGGCACAGGTTGCCTAGAGATGTGGTGGATACCCTGTCCTTGGAGACGTTCAAAGTCAGGCTGGACAGGGCTCTGAGCACCTGATGGAGCTGTAGGTGTCCCTGTTCATGGCAGGGGACCTGGATCAGATGGCGTTTGAAAGTCCCTTCCAACTCAAACTATTCTGTGATTCTTTAATTCTATAAACAGTAGTAAGTTTTCTTGTCAATATCCAAATTTCACAGGGAATGGGAATCCTCATTTCTGCCTGGACCCAGGTACTGCATCTGCTCCTGCCCCAGGAGAACAGACATGCAGGAACCACCCAGCCTGAACTCCTCTCCCTGAAGCTGCAATACATTATGTATGGAGAAATCCTTCTTCCTGCCATACCAGGGAAGAGGAATTGGGTGAAAAATGCACTCACTTTGCACTTGGAACAGAGTACAAATACAGAGTGCATAATCAAGAGGTAATGCTGCACTTCAGGCTATGAATACTGCAGGTATTTCTCTCAGTGCACAGCAGTAGGAGCTCCTGTCAACCAAGGATGTTAAACATGAGCAAATTCTATGGTAGTGCACTATTTTCAATCTTAATAAAATCCTGTTTTGAAATGAGGAAATGAGAAATAATTACACACTATATATGATAAGCAGAAAGATATATGTTTTTTTTAAATTCAAAGAGTATTAAAACATTTTAACAACAGCTTTACCTTTGGAAAGTTGAAGATGGTTATTTTGAAGATTATTGTTATTATGGAGATTATTGTTATTTTAAAAGCAATTATCTTGACCCATGATCAGAAACGTTCAAAATTTCAAAAATATCCATATTGCCTTGTTAATCTGTCAAGATGATCTAAAAACAATTTTCTTATTTTCAGTTTTTACCAGAATCATTACAAATTGCAGAAGATGGCAAGGAGCACATTTTGACCATCCTGAGCACTGTGCCCATTACCTGTGCTGGGCATAACGATTCATGTAAAATCACATTACGGCTCAGTACTGAGGATCTGGGTGAGTCTTATGAATCAATGTGATTACTTTATTTCCTGCATTTCTGTTACAACGAAACCTAACAGAAATTATAAGGCTTTAATAGAGGCCATAAAATCGACAGAATCAGCCAACTATTTGCAAGATAAAATAGATGATGATATCACTCAGGCTTTTGTCATCAGAAATATCTGAGTAGAAGCAGTATGAACAACAGTCTGCTGAGATTTATGGGTGAAATAACTGTGAATAGAAGAACTTTTTAAAATTCTAAAAGTATAATATTCCATTTTAAGTTTTTGTAGAAGCAATGGTCTCAGCTAAAAAAAAAATCATCAATTATCAATAAGAAGTTCACCTGCAGATTTATTACTCACTAAATGTGTACTGAAGTCTTTTTTCTTTCTTCTTCTGGATTATATTTGCTGTCTGTCTCAATATAGAAGAAAAAATAATTCTTATGATAATATATTACTCTCTTTCTAAAGGTATTTTTTTACTTAGAAACATTGACAATGCCATTTAGAAAATCCTCTTGCAATTTAAATGGTATATGCTTTCCGACGTTAATCTGGTGGAATATCATGCTTAATCAAGGGGAACATTTTAACTTGCCATTTGCACTAAGTAAAACACCCAGCCATTTTTCTAACAAGGTATTTATTTTTCTTCCAAAGGTGGTTCAACAGAAAAATGTTTAGAGAGAGGATTAAAGTATAAAAATCTGATTTAAAAACAAAAAAAATAACAACTTGCCAAAGAGTGGATATTATTCCCTTTCTGAATTCCTGTCCTTTCTTTCCCAACCTTAGCCAAATACACAGGCAAAAAAAAAAAAAAAAAAAAAAAAAAAAAAAAAAAAAAAAAAGAAAAAAAGAAAGAAAGAAAGAAAGAAAGAAAAGAAAAAGAAATTATTCAAACGATATCATAACACAACGATCTTAAACTGAACAGTACCTTACGGTTCCTGCAGCTGTGTTGGCTCTCATACATGAAGTACTTTGCGTTTCTTCATGGCTCAGTGCTGCTCCCTTCCCCATATTGCTCTTGGCTTACAGTCTATGCCAGTCCACCATGCAAACATTTGCTGAGCTCATGGGAACAGATTTTCTATGATATGGAGTTAGCTGAGAATGCAGGCTGCTGTGTGGTGGGATAGCCCTGAGAACTCCAAGCAACAATCACACCTACAGGGATCAAATGAGAATTAGTCACTTAAACAATAAAGGTAATTTCTGAGTACAGCAGATTGGACTGAGGTTGATCCCTTGCCACAGTCTTTTCCAGTCTTACAGTATGCATTTCATTGAGAGAAAGAGGTGAGGCAGGATCTGCAGAAGCAGATTTTCAGGTTGTCAGTGGGCATGATGTGTTGCTGCCAAGACATGCCAGGATAGAGAGACAACTCAACCAATTAAATAATCTCTGCAGGAGCTAGTCACTAAAGAGGCAAATTTCCATCAGTTTAATCAACACATTTCTGTAGCTTAAACTAATGACCAACTCTAACCTCTCATTACTCCACCCTGAGGATGCTTCTACGCTTCACACTTAAGCTGGTGTTTAATGGTATATCTGTATGTACTTAAGGATGAATACGTATTACTAGGTGCATGCACAGTCACAGGTTTTGTTATCTGTTGGGTCCATTTGTATATCTGAAAGAATGCTGTGGGCTTTTGAAAAGCATAACATGTTGGACACAGTGTTATAAATTGGAAATAAAAACAATTTCAGTTGAGATTCATTTGTATTGAGTAAATCAACACAGAATCTCCTTGTCTGACTGAATCCATCCAACAACACCATTCTGTTAATTATGTAGGGAATAAGTGATAAGAAAGCTAATTACAAGCACGGAAATATCTCTCCAATTTCAGACAATATCATAATGAATACCAAGACACAGCAGATCAACTGGAGTTCAGCCCTGTTAAGTTTATCACTGCTATTTTGACAAGATGATTTTCTTTGATTTTAAACTTTTGTTCTGGGTTGTAAGCAGACTCATAAGGTAATAAGTAATGGCAATAACTATTCCTTATAGAAATCTCCAATTTAATTGAATCAAGAACCTTGAAAATGAGCCAGGATTTTTCTATAAGATGTAAGGCATCCTTTAAGGATTGGGAATAAGAGATAATATGCTATTAATGGTTGCAGGCTTTTAGTTCAGACCCTGTAGACCTCTACAGGGTTAATTTCAATTAGGCTTTATGGTTCATTTCCATAAGGAATGAAATGCTGACTATTTGATCTTATTAGATATACCATCCTAATGTACTTGAATGCCACCTCCTATAAATTATTAAGCAATTCAACAAATTGGAAAAATTATATGGAAATCATTTATTTTCCTATCAGATTCATTCCATTGCCACAATTTCTATAACTGTTCTTATCTGCTGATAATTACTGGTCTGGAACAGAAAAGTAAATGCTCAACACAAATGTTGGCAGCCCTGAAATCAGTAGTGGTATTCTTGTAGGCTGGAAAGGTGGCTATTTCTTTACCCACCAGAGAATTCATGGTTGGATGACTTCCTGATGATCAGATAGACATCATCCAAAATACAGATCGTGCTATCATAATTCAGTGCTCATAAATATTAATAACAAAGTCATTGAAAGAAAAAACTTTTCTTTTGTCCTTTCCCTGGGATCTTAGCATGGAGGATCAAGACTCAAGGGAAATGGACACTACCAGCCCTGCTGCTAGAAGAGGTTCCTTTGGGAAAAATACAGCGTGCAAAGCTGTGTGAATGATTTGAATTGCCATCCCCATATTTTTTAGTGTCCATCGCTTTACCAGAATCACAGATACTTAAATAGCTAGTATCATCATAACTCATGGCATTTCCATAGATTTTTAGTGAATTTAACCTCATGACCTTGATATTTTACAGATTGGATAGTAAAGCACAATAATCTAACATAACGAAATAAAAGAGAAAATCTGTTACTTATCCAAATGTACTGCACTTATCTTCCTGTGATGAATATAAAGTTCACTAAGAGCTAACTTGAAAACCCTACCTTTCCACATCAAAAATTCTCTATATCTTAAATTAAATAGCTCCAGTTCATACCTTGTTATAATAAAGCGAGTGAAAGATGTTTTCCAGAAGCATAGATTCATCTCTTTCTTTGTCACAAGAACAACTCATCTTCATTTCCGTGTCATGGGTCCTTAAAGATAAGGTTTTCACTCCAGAAATATTAACACCTGTTTAAAGAAAAAAGCATCAATGTGTTTCAGTACGCTGTCTACTGAAAAAAAAAAAAAAAAAAAAAAAAAAAAAAAAAGAGAAAAAGAGTAAAATGTGCTAAGAGTTGCTGGATTGAGTCAATTATAACCATCTTCGTGAAAAACCCATCTGGTTTCAACACGTGTCTTGGAATGTGAAACATTTGTGTTGGATGGGGATGGGTGACTGTTTGGATACCTCTTATCAGACTCAGTGCTCATGTTCATTTTAGACAGCCAATTACTGGGGCCCCCAAACATTGTCCTCTCAGCGTGCCAGGTGGATCTGGTGCCGGCGCCCTGCTCACAAGGCAGCTGTGCAGCAGCTGTACTAACAGTGACAGCCGTCACCGACTTCGCTGAGGATGGGAACCGCGTCAGCTACATCAGAGCCGAGCCAGTTGGACACAGAGATGTGCTTTGGAGGGCTCACACCTCGAAGGATGTAAAGGTGGGGTCCTAAATTAGTTTGAATAATGTGTCAAATTTAAATTGGAGGTGTAGTAGCAGATAAAATGAGGCAATGGTAAACCTTAACCACATAAAAATTTGGGGACCACTGTAAACCAACACAACTTCTATACATGCCGTGAAAACTAACAAGTGAAGCCTTTCGCTTCAATAGATTTAGGTTTCATTATTAGTGAGCTCATCAGTAGGCCAACAGATGAATTATACGTGCAAGCATACAGTGGTTTGGAGAACAGCTCCCAGAAAAGCAGAGGAAAGGCAGTGCCTTGGAAGTGGAAAGAAGGAAAGGGACTTGGCAGTGCCATGTTCAATTTGTGACCGTGCCAAGAATCACCGTGACACCACACACGCAGGCACTCCGTTTCTTCACTCATCCCTGCACAAAATGTCCAAAGGAAGGATAATGGGAATCAATCACAGAGGCAAGGCAGACCGTCCCCACAGGGAGCTTGGCCAAGGAGCGTGACGAGCAGGAGCTGGCTCACTGTCCGTGGAGCTGTTCAGAGCCACAGCTGGGAGCTCCAAGAGCCTTAATCCCACAGCCCAGGGGAATGAGAAAGGAGGTAGATTTGACTCAGCTAAAACTCTCAGAGCACTGGCATGTCCAAGCTGGTGCATTTGAAAGAACTGAAAATAAGCCCCCAGTTAAATCTGTAAGTTCACTGCCCTGATTCTGGTGGATTTACTCATGGTAGGATAAGATAATGAGACCAAAGGAATTTTTGTCTTGAAATGTGAAATGCCTTGCATGTGCTTATTCCCTCTTCTCCAGCACAGCCTTTTTTCACACTTTCAAGGATTCTTAGAGCAGAAATTGCAGCTAATTCAATGTAGTACACTCACATACTCATATTTTTTCTTGTAACTTAAGAATGCTCTCCATTGAAATATGAAAATGCAGCAAATGTGAAATGGAATTAATCAATTTTAATAATAAATTCCATCCATCTCAGTTAAAATTTGATCTATGGATACATAATAAACATAACTTTCCCTTTTCCCCAATTTCCCCACTGCTGCTTTGCACTTAATTAGAGGCATTAATGTAAAATTGTTCCTGCAACACATCAAGGAGAAATCCATACATTAAAATCCACGTAGTATTTAGTGCTTCAGACTTTTCAAATATGTTTTGTTTATCTTAAAATGGAATGGAAATGGTGGGCAGAACATCCTGGCAAATTCAGACACTTGGGAAAAGAAAAATGATTTCTTCAGCAAACGAGGCTGCCTGTGACTAAGACTTATATCCTTTGCTGCTACCATGCAAGAAAAAAGCAGAGCAGTGAAGGTTGTGGACATGGAGAAAATGGGAAAATTCAGAGATAATTCTTTAGTTCACTCCAGTAAATACAAATGATACAATTGATTTCAGATCAAAAAGCTGTTCAGTCCTTCGTTCCTCCAGACAATCACTTTAATAGTCTGGGATGCCAGACACCTGTGGGTGTCTAAGCAGTGTCTCTGTGTGATGGTTAAGGGACATTTTGGAACACAGATGACGTACTGCCTCGGGTGAGGAGTTTTATCAGCTACTGTGCTTCTATCTTCACCCTCTTATTCATTTATTTAATTTCACCACTGTTCCTAAAAGCTAAATTCTGCTTTATCACTAAAAGGTTGCACAAGGATATAGTGGCCATTCTTCTTACTCGCTCTGCAGACTGTGGCAGTACTAACTGAATTGCGCCTCTGGATTTCTCATGGGCAGTAAGCAAGCAAGCAAGGAATTAACAGCCCTGACCAAGAAATAAGGCTGGCAGGCTGGATATGGGAAAACCATAACACTTCATCACTTCTATCAGTGTGACTGGGAGCTCTTCATACTGCAAATCACTGTATACCCCAGTTCTGCATTTCTGTGAACTGGATAGTAGAGTATATGGCCCTGACAAAGTGCCATCTCCAGTGAATGAGGCAGTGCAGGCCCAGCATGGCCCAAGGTTCAGAGTTGTGACTTCAAAGGGATTTGCCTAATCTCTGTTTTTTTAGGCACATCTGCTTCTTGCATGTCACCAGGACTCTTAGGTCTCCTCTGTTATGTCCAAGTTACAATGGGTTTATGCTGCAGATCGTTGTTCTGTTAGATCCTTTCCTCTTTTGTTCAGGTGCCAAATGCCGACAGCTCCACCAGCCTAGTTTGGGCCATCACCACCAGCACCCAATCAATAATGTGCACATCAAATATATAAATCAGCCATTCATGTGCTGCATCAGGAAATTTAAGGTCAAACTAGGGGACAGACAGCGACTATTGCTAAAATATGCTAATGCTACTTAATTACAGCATACCTTCTACTGCACTTCAGGCATTAAAATTAGTGCAATTTAATGAGCACTCTACTCTCTTGATAATTTCATAGAATGATCTACTTCTTCGCAAAAAAAAAAGTTTATCAGAAAAGCTTCTCTTTTCACCAGCCAGCACACTACGTTGAGTAGAATGGGAGCACTTTGAACTCCCATATTACATGTGATTAAATGCAGTTGCTTGAAAGCGAACCCTATTTTGCACCCACCTGCAATCATGTTTTAGAAGTCAGATTTCAGTTTGTACTTGGCACAGGAATCTTGCTCCTAATGTTTTGTGAGGAGTGGTAATGAAGAAAAACTGCTGTGTAGACTGTATTCATTACGCATTTCATTTTAACTAGGTCACAGTTCAGGACCTCCCAACAGGGAACTGCTACTCTTTCACTGATCCACACATTATCACGTTTGATGGATGGTGAGTATTCTGCTTTGAAATAATTTGGCTCAATTACTGCAGTTTTCAGTTTCTGGATATAGAATGCATTTGGTTTTACATTAGAATATCAAAAGAGTGTTGTATTAGTTTGTTTATATAGATTAATGTTGTGCCTCGGTAATACACATGGTTTCCTTTCAGCTGTTTATATTCTTTTTAACAAAAGAACTGGAATTGGATTAATCTTGAAATTGCAATGGTTTTGAGAATGAATAATTTTTATAATGCCAAGGTCAGGCTCCAAACTGCTCTTTAAACAAAAGTGTCATTGATGACTTCAGGAGGGTTTCTATTCCAGGTGGCATAGTGTTAGAGGTACCACTCTTTCACTTGGGCGAGCCATTATGTCCCAGTGTTAGGACCACACGTGGGAACTGCCTGTGTCCTTCGCAGGAATTCAGTAATTCCTGATAAAAATTCCCTCAATTTAAGGATGTTTTTGTATTTTCCTATCTATTTGGATTACCAAATCTGCAGCTGTACCTCTGCATGGAGTTGACAGTCACAGTCACAATCAGAAAAAAGTAGATAAAAAGGGATGTATTGTCTCAGATAAAAGAAGTTGGGCGAATATGAGGGGCAGATATCAGGGAAAGTGTGCAAAAAGTTGCAAAAATAGTTTTACTTCCCTCTGTCTTGTCCAGCATCCTCCTGCATAAGCTGCTTGGAGACTTAGTGAACCAAAGGTGGTACCCTGTGTTTTTAAAAATCTGAACCTTAGCTATTCAGTGTAACAGAAAGTTTTTAAAGTTTGCATCTGGCACGTTTGAATCGAAGTTACTAATATTTCAGATCACATTCCATTTTGTCATTCTGCCATTAACCTCCTAATGGCACAGATAATGACTTTATGAGCACAGCGTCCACAGGGGCTCAGCAGGAGTGATATTCTAATTTTGATATTCTAATGTCCCAGTTTCAATCCAGCATGCTCTGGAGGCAGCAGCATGTATTTACCAGAACACAAACTCTAAAATGACGTTAAAACTGAGGAAATCTCTTGATTAAATGAGGACAGTGGCTCCTTTAAAGGCTTACATAATTGCCTCAAAGAAAGATGTTGCCTAAACTGAATAGTCTCAGCCAAGAGATTACTTCTGCATACTTTTCCATGCGCCCTCCTTCTTTGATGCATATCGTCTATAATGTGGTCAAGCTTTTGATTTCTAAACATAAAGAAGCTGAGGAAGAACTAAGAGTGGCACAGAGATATCCGCATGCTTCTTGGTATCCGCCATTATTTCAACTCTATATATTAAAAAAAAAGTTAGAATATTATTTTAGAACTCTCTAAACATTTGTTTTGTAAAATATTCCCTTCTGATTTAGGGCCAGGACCGGACAGGGACCTAACAAGCCATCATGTTTAGGAAGTCATAAAATTACTTCTTGGCATGGTGGAATGCTCTCAGCCATGTAGAATATTTTTACATAGCTTCCATGGGGAAAAAAAGGTCTAAAGTAATATAGAGAAATTTTATTTGAACAGCTGAGTTTGGAACTCTGTTACTGACAGTACACAGAAATGTTTCCAAGCAATTTACAATTCCATTTGAGCACAGGGAGTTTGGGAGCACCCATCCTTCTGTGGCATCTTGCCTTGAGGCAGCAAAGATCCAGGAAAACCTGGCCCTTCAATAACCACACGTTTCTTCATTGTGGACATTCATTACTGCTCTGCCCAGAGTAGCTTTAAATGAGCCACCTCAATAACCAGGTTATTTCACTAAGATATATCATTTCTTGATACTCAGCCAAGTTTCTTACCCATCATTTCACAGTCCCATTATTCCTACTTATATTCCCATTTATTACTGTAAATAATATCTGTTTCAATTACTGTAATGATTATGCTACCCTATTAGTTGTCAGTTAAGCAACTTCTCTGTGTGCCTATCCAAAAAAATGTTGTTAGGAACGATTTTAAAACGCTGTATATGGGATGTGGGGAATGCAATACCTGTATGTGTCAGGGTACAAACTTACAGTTTATAGACAAAGGCTGACACAGAGCTATGGATGTGAAGCATTTCCCTTCGTCATGAGGGAGTATGTAGTGGGAAACTACCAAAACTGCCTCTGAGGTCAACAGCAGAGCAACCAGTAAGCAATATAACCCAGGGAAATCACTCCACCTAGCATCCTGTAGGTCAACTTACCAGCTCTGCTGCTGTGGCAGGATGGCCATCAGTTGCCTCTTTGGCACCTCTTCCATCCTCTCTCTGCGGAGTCCTGGGGAAAACCTGTCATATGGCAAGCAAGAGAATGTATGTAAATAGGGAACACTGCAAAAAGCAAAGCAGTAGAAGTGTTTTTTACTCAGATAGGCAAAACATAAACACATTCCTGCCTTTCATAGGTTTGCTTACTGCTTTTTTTTGATTTTTCCACCAAAAGATGGCAAAGAGAAGGGAAGATACACAATGGAGGCAAGCAAGAATGGACAGAAAAATAGAAAAATTCAACCTTTGGGATTCCAAATAATACTTCATTTTGTAACATCTATAGATGTACTTTCAAATGGTTTTTAATTTGACGTACTGAACTCACAGTGCATCTGAGATAGTTTGTTGTTCATTGCATAACTGAAATACCGAACTCACACTTCTAATGACAGCACTTCCCTTTGGTGTGCTTCTTGCTGGTGTGCTTCTGGCTGGTATGCTTCTGTAGAAATATTTATCTTGTCATTATTTTACTCCTTTGACCAAAAGAAAAGATGGAAAATCAGGAAGAATCTGTTGTATTTTTCATGTGAGCACAATCAATTTCTGTATATTGGTGCATCAGTGTGAAACAGCATTAATTATACTAGCTAAAATCCAGAGAGAGCTCTTCCTTTTATAGTAAAGTAACTTCTAAATTAAACAAATGTGAAAGCCTGGTAAAGCAAAAGCATAACCCTCATTATTAGTTATGGCACAGTATAAACATAAAAGCTTTTCCTGACATAAATTGTAGGTTCTTAAATGTAAAGTGAAGTATTAGCTTAAAACTAAATATGGAGAAAATCGTTGTAAGGCAGAATATAAAAAGGGAAATATTCCTCGCAAACTATATCTGTCATTCACATTGTATTGCATCTTACCTTAAAAAAACCAACAACTTTTTAAAAGATTTCTCACACACATAAACCCATCCATCAACATTGTAACAGAAAGAATGACACCATTTCCTCATAATGACAAATCCCTGCCTTGTAAGGCTTCATGCTTGCGGCTGGCATTCATTTTTAACAGCATTCATTACAGCAGCCCACAGATAAGTTCTGGTCATGATCAGCCCTCACAGAAGTACTGCTCTTTCTTGGTAGCCTGTAGAAATTGCCCAAGGATCCAATGGCTGCTGAAGATAACTCAACAGTCTCTGAGAACAATGCCACCAGTCTTTACTGATAAGCTCTGGAATCAGAGGACATCCTTCAGCATCAGCCAGTCCTTCCTGGGGTCACAACTAGAGTAAAGTACTTCTTACTTGTAAGGAAAGAGGTAGTCTTGGGGGATGTGTCAACAAATAAACAACAACAAATAAGCAAAACTTTGGAGGAAAAACTTCAGGTGAAGCCCCAGTAACAAGTGAATTCATAATAAAGATAACTCGGTGGCAATAGCATATTGCATTAGTTATTTTACTGCTACTAATAGTAAGGTTCTTGTGTACTTCCTTCTTATCACAAACCAACAGAAACAATTCCTACAGCATCTCACAGACATAACAAAAGACTTAGGAGTACTTTTATTTACTTCCTTGGTTTGAGTGCACAATTTGAGACATGAATTCACCTCAGGGCAGGAACATGATGCACTCTTTGAAAAATACATACGTGAGGAGGGAGGAAGCCACATCCAGTACACCCTTTACTATAAGCAATTAGGGAAGCAAAATGGGAAGTGCACTATGAAAAGTAATTCAGAAACAAGCAATAGTGCCTGGGCACAAAAATATGCGTAGCTCCCCTTTTGCAAGACCTCCAATAACTTCATGATTTTAGCTCCACAAATCTGCAATTTGATTTCTCAAATGTTGTCCAAAGAATCATTATGGCAATTACAGTTGTATAAAAACCACAAAAGTTTACCTGATTACATTCAATTATCCATTTGTGTAATTCAAAGGCAGCTGAAAGCTCCAATTTAGACACCACCACAAGTTTGTTATGTGCTGTACAATCTGTCATGACTTAACTGAAGGACTGCGACTTCCAATAGCGTTGGACTGGCTCCACTGTCAGTGCTTATTAAGCAGTAAATAACTCCCATTGCTGGAATGTATATGCTAATACAGTCTTATTTACCAGATATACCTGATTAATCTGGATGCAGCCATTTCAATGCATTATTTTCCATCAGCTTCTCTAAACATCTTCCTCCTAGGCTCTTCCTGTTAAGGAATGTCTGGTCAAAGGAAACTGAGAAAGGTGATCCTTGTTAAATTTCTGGCTTCCCAGTCTTTCCAGTGTAGAGGTCCAAATGCACTTGATTTTAAAAGACTATCTTTTATGTTGCCCTTAATTCTAATCAGTCTTAGCAGCAGCATCTGCACAACGTACTTAGGATTTATGTACCTGATTAGAAAATAAGATGAGGCAAAACCATTCAATATCATATCATTTTATGGCCAACTTCACTAAGTTTTTCAAGATGAAGTATAATGTCAAATGTGGTTTCTTGCAGAGAAAAGCAGTTGGAGTTTAAATTCTTGCTGCGTTTTCAGGTACATATTTTTCTATGGCTTTCATTCTAGAGAGAAATAAAATTCAGATATATGCATGTTAAACATTCTTTGTTCTTGAGCCAAAATACAACAAATTATTTTCTCATCTGTACAGAAAGCATTCACTGACTGAAAAATTATCGATGTTTTTATGACATAGCTTAAAAATAATCCTGTTATTCAGTTTAGCGGTTGATTTTTTTTTTTTAATGTTCAGTTTTACATTTTCGTTTTTACTGGAAAAAAACAAAAATGCTTATGACTTAGTTTCCATTATACTTATTTTCCTAAAAATGAAGTTTAAAACTAAGTGCAGTGCCTTAAAAGGAAGCAGAAGAACCTGCAGCTTTCACAGATGGCAGCTGTTGGCTTATGCGGAGAAATCTCCAACCACATATATAAAAAATACAGCCCCTATTTTCTTTACTTTTAAACATCACATGGCAATAAAGTAGAGTAACTGTCAAACGAGGTCACGGTATGAGGAAACAGAAGAACAAGGAGAGAGGGATGCTCTTGAAGGTCCTATTTTAGAAGTTGTATCAGACCTGCACAGAGGGGAAACACTTGCAAAATTGTTTTGCTCAGTTAGAGCAAGGAATTTCATGGAGAGAAGAATGAGAGGATTGTTCCACATCATGCAATACATTGGCTGACAATCCATTTAGAGAGGAAGCAATGGTTACAATGAAATTCTTGGGAGGGGAACCAACTTTGTTTTCAAGGGCTTTCAGCTGTAGCTCCTCCTTCTCTCTCAAGGTGTTCAAGGCCAGGGTGGATGGAGCCCTGGGCACCCTGGTCTAGTATTAAATGTAGAGGTTGGCAGCCCTGCATGTAGCAGGGGGGTTGGAGATTCGTGATCCTTGAGGTCCCTCCCAACCCAAGCCATTCTATGATTCTGTGATTCACATGAATGCCCAGACACAATCAGACTAGAAAAAGTTAGTAGTTAGTCGCATGTGAGGTTATCTGTGCATTGATTTTTCTTTGAAGAATATTGTGCTGTACAGCATCCAGTTAGAACCAAAACATATTTTTAAAGTCCTGGGAGCAGGAATTTCTTCCCATTTGCTTTTTTCAATTGTTTATCCTTTTTATCCATGCCCGTTGCCATAGCAGCAGTTCACAGACAGCAACCAGGTTTTCTCAAGAATTCTTCTACACTCCCAATTAATAACAGCGACTGCATCATCTTGCTCATGGTACTGGAGAGATGCTTCCACGTCCAGGCCTTTCCAAGGCAGGTGCTGGAAAGGCTTGTACATCTGCTCCATGTGGATTCAATGGGTCTCTAAACCCTGGTTTTGTTTCTCCTTGTTTAGGCGTTACGATAACTATAAAATCGGCACCTTCCTTTTGTGCCAGAGCACGTCACGGGCATTCGAAGTGCACGTCCGTCAGTGGGACTGTGGGGGACACCACTCTGCTACTGCCTGCAACTGTGGGGTGGCTGCATGGGAAGGGAGCGATGTCGTCCGCCTGGATGCCTGCAATGCGCACTTTCGGGACAGCAGGCCGCAGCTCAGCATCCAAAGTACTGAGGCATCACCACAGGTCAAAATCCTAAGGTCCTACGGAGGGAGAAAGATAACAGTACGTGGAGATTTGAGTACTCCCGTTATTGTTGTTGTCAAAAACATGAGTTAAATATTTCTGAATCATTTAAGAAGCTGCTGTGAACAGTATCCATCTGAAGCCATGAGAGCATCTGCAGCAAAATGTACGGGAAAATGTGACATAGGGAAGAAGCTGGTGGAAGCATTGGTTTAACCAACTGTAAAACAAACTAAACAAGGATTTCCAGAAATTTCTCAGAGATGCATCAGAGTGCCAGTATTGCTGCTTACCAAACTGCTCTTGGTTCGTTCATGCTAGGTACTACTGAACCCACAGTGCAAATTTTGTTTCAGAGCTTTACGATATAGACATTGAAGTAAGGTTCACAGGTAAAACAATGCAGTCTTAGACAAAGAGCAAGGCAATGTTAGCCGGATACAGACAGCACTCAAAAGCCATGAAAATGGGCAGCAAATGTGCAACATTTTCTATAATTTAAAGTATTTGCCTAAAAACCTTATCTGACCATAACAAATTTTGCATGATGCATTTTGCATCATTTCTTCACGCTAATCCAGTGAAATCACTGGAAGAATAAGAGTGGGCTGTACCAAGGGGTTTGGTGGGGAGAAGAGGGGGGAAATTACAGCCAGGAAGATAATTTTTATCCTAAAATTTTATCATCAAGATTTATTGCCAGGAGATATTTTGGGTGAAGATAGGTTCACAGCAGAGCCAGAACGCTGCCAGGGACTGCCTGTGTTTGGCTGTCCTTGCAATCTCTTGGAAAAGATCTTGATGAGGTAGTAATTGAAATTCTGTTAATTACAGAATAGAGAAAAAGCAGAAAGCAAGCTGTCATTTCATTTTGCAACTGAATGCAATACAGTTACTGTTTTATTACTAGAATAATTGCAGCAAGAAACCCTATACTCATTTGCACCTCAGGTAAGTTTCACTGATTTCCTTTGTGTTTAAAATAAATTAAGACACCTCTGGTATGTAAATAGGAATGCTGCCCTGATCTGAATGGAATTGTAGACAACAAATATGGTCCCTGAGTTACCACCATGAGCAGTGTACCTCCATTTGCTCAGCATCACTCCTTTCTGCAGTGGTTTTTCAGCAGCCCATCACCTTCTTCTCTTTAAACTGAGGTCTCAAAAAAATCTTCTTCAGAGTTCCTGCCAACAGTTTTAAATCCAGGTGTTTTAAGAAAACCTGGGCTGTGGTCAGCTCCTCCTGGCATATGGCTTGCCTTGCCCAAGGGCAGCAGGAAAGGAAGGGCTATGGACTTCTGAAAATAAATCCACCTGGTAATACCCATTCACACAGCACAGAAGGTTGAAACAGCAGGTTTGACCTTAAGGATTTCATAGATGGCCTTGTGGGAGATGCTCATCCCAGCAGGAAAGCACATAACTCAAAAGTTTTTCAAAAGGAGGAAAACAAACACTGCCCAACACTATGTCAGCTGCAGTTGTTCTGCTCTATGTATTAAAACAACTGGCTCTTTAAGTTCCCTTGGAAAGCAAAACATACAGCCAAGGTCTCAAGCTCCACAAAAGTGTTCTCCTCGTTGAAAAGAGGGCTGAGAAGCTCAAATGAATAAGATTGTTATTTATTGCAGCCAAAATGTAAATCTGGGTTCCAGCACAGAAATACAAACATAAGTTATTCACTTCTCACAGATATTAGTAGGTTCAGTTTGGATGAGAGTATAAAGGACCAAAAAAATACAGAAAAAAGCAATGGGCATTATTTGGCTGAATCAATTATTCTCAGCCAGGAGTGATTTTAAAAAACTAAGATATTTAGAAATCATTGTAGTGAGATGTTTCCAACCATTTAATGTGCTTTTCAAAATTAACTGGTAACATTTAATTGTGGATGAAAGTATTAAGGTTACTTATCCGGATAGAGAACTCCTCCTCCCACTCCCAGCATGGATCAATTTCACAATCATTTTCTTCTTACCTAGCAAAACAAAGCAAGCAAACAAAAATACAATGCAGTTGAACAGATTTGTTCCTTTTTTTTTTTTTTTTTTTTTAAATTTGTTTGGACCACCAATCTGAAAAATCCATTATCTGCACAGCTACTTCTTTGTCTTACCCTCACCATTTTTTTTTCTTTTAAAGGTCAGTATAAGCCTACCAGAAGTTCTTTAATGAGAAAATTGCTTTATCTACTTTAAAACACAATCATTTTCTGGGTAATCCAGCCTTGGAAAATGAAACGATTTTTCAGAGGGAAGAAAGCTGTTTTTCAATACTTGGCAGTTTATCTAAAAGAAATGATTTCCTGGCAAAGACATGAGGGTAGCCTATTGTCATGGAAGTCGCTTCAAAAATTGTCTTGTAACCTACCAGTGGGAAAATCTCAAAGAATTTAATTATTGCTTTAAAAAGGAAGTCCTTATGCGGGTTTATGTTTGTGTAACACTGTCAGATGGTAGCAACATGAGAACTGAAAACAAGTTAAATAATAGCACAAATAAATAGTCGTTAATGCATCTAAGTGATCTTAAATAACCACCAGCATCACCAAGTTTCTGCCCTGAGATTTTCATTTATAGAAAGGGACACTTTTAATTGCATAAAAATGCTCAGTAGTGGCTTCACTGTTTTTTTCTGTCCCTTCAGATCCTATTCCCTTCAGGAGCGTTCGTTCGAGCCGATGTGAGTGAGTGGGGAATGGGCTTGACAGTGAGGATACCAAGCAGTGACTTCAACAGCACTAGAGGTTTGTGTGGCCTCTTTGATGGGATCAGTCACAACGACTTGAACAATGTGCCTGAGGAAGACTTCATAGAGGAGTGGAGGTACAAAGTGAGAAAGGATGACAGGCTGGGTGATGCCCTATAGCAGTTATTCCAGAGATGCTGATACACTTATTTCATTATGTACACCCCTAATTACCTGGAATAGAGATCAGCTTCATCAGACAAGGAAAGCCTGGAGGCCCATTATCATCCAAGCAGCATGGTGGCTGGTTTTTCAGTCAGCACAATGAGAATCAGCAGTTACCAAGGAGAAGTTTTATATTCACGAGTCATGTCAAGTTAACAGCTGTGTTAAGATCCCACTCAGCTGTTAAAAAAGGATGCAGTTCTCACCTGCAGTGGAAAATGTAGATAATTGACAATAGGGATTAATTAAGGGTTTGGTATTTCACTTGTTCTTTTATTCCTGAACACTAATTGCAATATGTGAGTATAGGTTAAATGTTACATTTTGACAGAGTGTGATAATATATGTACCATGCTAAAAGTTAATATCTACTCCACTGATGATGGTGGTTGGTTCAAAAACCTTGAACTTCCTGAGAGAGATTGTCTGGAACCAAAATCAGGAGTCCACACTTTAATTCCATATTTTTGAACTCAAAACACTCCTAAAAGATGTTTCCAAAACTGAATTTTTTTTTTTTTTGTCTGTATACGTTTGCTTGTGAAGTGTGTTTTTCAAATAAGAAACAAATAAGGTGGATGTGGCCAGTTATGTTAACTTGTGAAGATATTTCAAGATCAGCTTGTGCTGTGATAGTCATTTCAATTCAATATGGCAAGAACATGTGTGTGAAAATTTGGCACAGTTGGATCAAATCCTAACTGTAGTCTGATAGCTAGGTATGCAACTTAATGTTCCACTTAATCTGCGCATGGGAACTTAGCACACAATAAATGCAACAGATTTTAGACTCAGAAAATTTGCTCAGAAAATGAGCAAATACTTCAACCACATTCTAGATATATTCGACCAGCCTACATAGCACTACTTAGAAATCAACAGCCATCTCTAATGCTTTAAAATTGTGAGGATGAATCAGGCTTGCTTCTGGGATGGCAAAAGGACAAACAGTTTGGTGCAAGAATGACAAACTTCTTCCTACCTGAAGACAGGCTAACAAGCAGCTGTTCAAAACAAGTTTGTTGAAAGATCAGAAGCCAGAGCAGAGCATACAGGAATTCACTTATAAAACAGCAAGGAATGCACTAGTGCTTGGCACATGTGATGGAGGGTACCTTCAGGAAAGGTATGGGAAACTGCAGCTATGTGAGAAGGGCAAGTGGGGCAATGAGTTTAATTTTGCAGTACTGCCAAAGATGGAGTCTCAAGGACTCTTCAGAGCCAGATTCAAAAACCGACTAAGCCAATGGAAAGGCTACTACTACATCCAGGAGAGACTAGATTGGTCTCTGATCCACCAACGGAGAAATGATGCAATAAAAAATACAGCCTGGAGGGTCACTGTACTGCTGCTGCTTTTAATTTCATTTTAAATGACACTAAGCACGCTATGTTTTCTGCAGCACCTGAAGCTAGGATGATTGCTCACCATCTGATAGCTCAGTTTTTTCACTGGCTCCCTCCTTTCCCAAGCAGCTGAAAACAGATCTGTTTTAAACATTGTCTTTCCGATGCAATATTTAAACAATAAAACAATATCAGAGCCTCCCAGTCTCTAAGGAGCACGTGAACAAGGAAGAGACAAATTTTAAAACATATATGTTAAGTAGATAGAATATTTTTTTTCATACTTTCTGCAGTTAGTTATAGAGAAATCAGAAACACCACTATTCTCTTTGGAACTCTTCTCTATTAGCATCCAATTCACCTTGAAATATTTGCTTTCATATCTTCCTTGGTTATGGGCAGGAAAAAGCAGCATTTCTTTAGTTATCTCGTGCAGAAGTCCTTCCCAGCTTGCAGAAGTGTATTCCCTGTAAGAAAGCACAGGAATTATCAAGGCCTCAAGCCTTTCCAAGGCATACATCCCCATCACATATGCCATCTTCAATATATATTGTCAAAACTGTATAAAGCCAAATCTGCTTTCCACAACAGTATCGAGGGTTTGTCTTACAATGTTGACAAATGCTTTCAACCTTCCCGAACCCTCTATATTTTGGCTGCAAGACAAAACTGATGCCAAAATAATTTACATTTTTGGTAATGTTTCAAATTTGTCTGGAAATAAAGTGCTGCCAACTATTGAGACAAGAAACATATCTTTTTCTATGAAGCTTCAGGATTTCCTCTTGCACTTCACAAATAAGATCACGAAATTTCCAGAGAAACTTCAATCATGGCTGTTTATTCAAACTGAACTCTCTAAAAGTTCATCCATCATTAAAGTGGTAGTAAATTAAAAAAAAAGGAGAAAAAAATCACCTTTCATTATATGATATACAAACCCTATGATCAAAAGAAAACTGCTTTGTATCAAAAGAAAAGCTCAAAGAAAGTGCCATTAGAGGTCAGAAATGAAGTTTGCCAAGAAAAAAGAAAAAGACACAGAGATCCAACTCTTAGAGGAAATATTCTCCATTCCCCAAGCTATATCTGAGTCACACTCCAGACGAATCCAAAGTCTTATTTCATGTCTGATATGCAAAGGGCAACCTGTACCTTAGAAAAAGTCCTGCAAAGTGACATCCCACTATTAGGCACTGCTCCAGCAAAGCACTTAAGCATCTGTTACCAAAAAGTTCCAGTTTAGTGCTCAAAAATGTACAGAACAACTCAAGAAGGGCATAAAAAACTAAAGAAAACAAAGATTTAAGCATTTTCTTAAGTACTTTGTTAGACTGAATTTATATATTCCTGAACTTTGGGAAAGAAAGTTTATCTAGCAACGTAGATCAATTTGTTGAAAGTTTCCTCCCTCTAATCTCGCTGTATTTTTAAACCAGAATACCTCCAGGGAAGAGTTTATTTGACAAAACTCCAGCATCTTCAGAAGGGAAGCAGAGGAAAAATTACTGCAGATGCCCGGAGAGCACAAAGTCCATGCCCTTGCTAAAGACGCTGAATGCCTTTCAGATGCAATCTCCTGGTTGTCATTATGATAATGTGGATTACGCTTTTGCAATTCCATATCTGGATGTTACATCAGAGTTTTTCACTCACTCAGGCAAAGAGTTTGCTTCAAGAGATGATGAGGAACGGTCGCCCAAGTCTTTTGATCAAAGATCTCTCCCTAAATCAGCCAAAAAGCGAGGTAGCCGTGAGGAGCGATTAAAAACCTTCTCACATCATGCTTCCATGAAAAACAACAGTTCCCTTAACTTTACCAAGCCAACAGAAGAACTGCAGAGACCAAAAAGACAAGGAAACTACTTTGAATACTCAGCCCTTCATCCGTTGCATAGCCCAAGCCAGACAGACACGGAAAGCTTTGCCTATTTTTTCCCAGAGGATTATTTTGAAGGGATTCGGATAAAACTCCCACTGGGATGGCCCACTCCCAGCGGCCTAACCTCTGCCAAAGCTCAGCAGATTTGCCACCAAATTCTTGCAAATTCCACCATTGGCTTAGTGTGTAAGGCTCTGCTGGGAAAACTGATAGATGAGGCCATGAATATATGCATGTTAGATCTGCAGCTCAAGGATGATGTGGCCTGGGTAAGGGCACTGATAGCGCTTTTGGAAAATGAGTGTGAAAGACGAGTGCTGAGGCACAGAGGTGAAGTGTTTCATGTTGGAAGCCAGCCAACTTCTACCCAGGAGGAAATCCTTACCATTCTCCGCTGTCCTGCTTTCTGTAATGGCAATGGACAATGTACAGACCTGGGCTGCCAATGCTTTGAAGACCACAGCTCTTATGATTGTAGCACTGCCAGAAGTAAGTAAAAAATTCTGTTTGTTCCTACCCTAGCCATCTTTCCATGGTATTAGAGTTATTAGGTAGAACATCTGCACAGAGTTATTTGTTCTTCAAACGGTGCTACCAGTGAGATATTTGATGAATTAGTAAGCAGTTTTTGACCTTGAAGAGCTGATCAAAACATGTGGTTGGCTGGTCCTTTGCTTTTTCGCCTCAGTAACTTTTTAAAAATGGATTTTACAAGTCCCTTAGCAAATTGGTTTTGCAGAAGTGATTTTCTTTACATCAGATCTATCACCAGCGTGCTGACAAGCAAGTTTCTGACAAAAAGAGGGTCCTGTTCACCTTGCGGTCAATATTCATGTTAACACTGTACAGATACATTTTTTTTTTTCTTCCCTGATCAACAAAGAATAAAATGTGAAAATAATTTTATACAATGTATTAGTTAAAAGAAAATAAAATTACATGACAGAATGAACAAGTAAAATGGCCAAAGCCATAAAATAACCACAGAACCTATCTGTAGGTACTCTATCTGAACCTATAGACCTGATTAAGCAAATGTTGTTGAATCACTTGACCATTACACAGGTGACTATCCTACTAGATTTGTTTCTCCTTTACTGTACAGCCCCTCAGTGGATAAACCTAAGTCCAGTGTGAGTACTGATGGCACTCGAAACTTAGCACATGTATAAATGCCAGCATTTCTTTCAAAAGGCAAGCCTTGCCTCAGCAAACCCCATCAGCTTATGCTCAAAGTCATAAAGGCTCGGCCACGCAGTCAGGTTCCTGCAGCTTAAGGAGAATTCTGTAGCTAAGCTGAAATAACAAGGTATGCTCCTTCATCCATCCCAAATGTGAAGGAAAGCCTTTTGCTGTGTTGCTGAGCCTACTGGACATTATCCTGTTTTTAGGATAGTGAAAGCTTCTATCTAAGGTCTGTACCTATAAGCCATAGCAATATCTCAGTCCTGTAGCTCAGCAGCACACCTGATGCTCCCAAGACACTTACTAGCTGGGACAGGATTATCCATATTCTTCATAATAAACACGTCTTCATTGCGCTGATTTAAGTGGCTTTTTGTTAATGGCATTTTCTTCTTGTTAATGGCAAACTAAAATTTATAGGATCATTTCCTACCTTTCCTAAACTTCTGAAGAATTCATTCTCATTCACACAGAGAATTGACACCAGTGACTGAAAAGCAGTCTGAGCAATTTTGCAATAATTATTCTATGTATAATTCAATGTTTAACTTCATTCTCTGTGATACAGCCAGGGGAGGGGAATTGCTTAGAGCAGATGTTTAAATTTTATTTTGCTTTTCTATGGTTGAAGTACTTAAGATTAAAGGAAAATAACTTCCGTATGACCTTTCAACCAGAAGCTAATGGCACCTTGTCTTCTTGCTGCCTCATCAACTATAAACAAGGGCAAAGCCCAGAACATACCCTGGTACTGCACTGGGAGGAGAGCATTGCTCAAGTTCTCTTCTCCCAGCTTCCACTTTGTTCAGTGCTGAGTGAGAGCTGTCCTAAGGATACTGAAGTTCGTCACTGCATTCTCAGAGCAGCCTCAGGCTAAGCCAGGCAATAGGGTGTGCTCTCTCACACTGTACCAAACTGTAACCCCACAGCTGCCTCATTTGGACTCTGCGCCCAGTTAGCACTTCACTGCAGCATAACTCATGTGAGGGCAGCTTTGAGATTTAACACAGGCTCTACAAAAGGCACTTCTCCCAACTCATTCACCAGGTCAAAGTGTGGTAAACTGATCCATGCTTGTTGCACGTTATGTCTTAATGCGACCTCCCCAAAGCTCACACTGAGTAGCAGTGCACATTACACCTAAGAACCTGTGTTTTTTAACTAATAGCTTGAAATATTTTCTGTAGATATAAAGTTTAAGTACAAATATTATTTTTCATTTGAGAAAACCTACAAAACACATTCATAATTACAGCCCAGGAAGAGAAGAATGGTTTCTAGCTAAGTAAAGGGAGCACAGAAGGGAAAGCATTAAATACAAATGTTGTGACACAACTATTTATTTTTCTCTTGTGGGAAAGGTAGGGGCATGGCTTTTCAATGTGTAGGCATGTCTTCCCAAGGGTGCCCCTGACCTGGGGAACAATTCCCATTCAATTTTCTTTTTCCCCCACCATACCAGTGAGATGATATAGTGCCTTCTCATCAACAGCTGTCCGTCCCATAGAGGTAAGGCAGAAATCACTTGTGCTCTACTCTACATCCTGGGTACACTGGAAACATACACATTTGTGCAGGACATAAAACAAAAACAGAAATCAAAATGTCACAACAGGTTAGTGGAATTCACTTCAACAGCTAAAATCTTCCCTGCCAAATATAGATATATTTTTTTTTCCTATTTGTAATCCATCCACCAGCTTGTAAAGAGTAAAGCCCAGACCATTACAGCACATTTCATGACAGACCCCATAGCCCATGGAAACCCCTGAGCTGTTTTAAACATGAAAATAAGGATCTCAAAGAGGAAATGCTGGTACCCAAGCATTCATGTAGACAATAAAACTACTTAGCAATTCCACATCCTAAAGAAAATATCTGTTCAAGATATTTATCCAAAATATTTTACAGGGCTTCTCATTAAAATGGGAGAAATGGGATTTAAAATCAGCTCTTTAACTAAATGCAGCTTTCATTTAATTTTATATCTTTTTCCCATAAAATACTGAAAAAAAATTGGGAACATTTTTGATCATTTGGTAAAAAAAAAAGAATCTTCCCAGAGCACATCACCCAAAGAGTCCTCAGTTTTTCCAAATGACAGATGAGTGGAAGGCAGTGTAAATTTCCCTTAATGCCAGTGGTAACAATATGGGGATTGTCAATTGTTAGTCCCATTACATGGAAGGGCAGCCAGAAGTCAAAGTTTTAGAGTCTGGAACCAGAGTTGATTTACTCCTTTAACTTAGAGGCACTGGAACAGGTTGCCCAGAGAGATGGTGGATGCTCCATCCTTAAAGACATGCAAGGTCAGGCTGGATGAGGCTCTGAGCAACGTGTTGAGCTCTGGGGTCCCTGTTCACTGCAGGGGAGTTGAACCAGATGGCCTTCAAAGGTCCCTTTCAACTCAAATGATTCTATGATTCTATGAAGTTTGTTCCAATATTGACTATGGAGAAGGAAGAGTGCTGTGATGGCATAGAGTGAAGCAATGTAATGTATTACAGTGAGCTCCAAGCATTGCAGTCTGTTTATGGATTCATTTCTGAGTGACCCCGAATAGATTTTCTCCATTCCTCTATTTAACAATACAGGAGCCATGCACCTGTAAAAGTACCGGATCTTGGAAACACAATGTAAAGGAAACCTACACATCCAGACAGAGGTCAGATGTCCTACAAGGAGAAATAAAATTTGAGTTCTGGCACTTCAATCACCTAGACATCATAATGGTTAGGAAAGGTCAGCTAGCTAATTCAGTACAGACAAACAAGATATAAGTACCAGTGTGAGCTTCACCTTTAGTTGTTCTTGCTTTCAGAGTTTTATTGGCAATGTTCTTTTAAGATATCTGCTCCTTTTTACATTTCACAGGCAGCAATGTACTGCTCAAACAGCATATGATGTAACATCTATTTGCAAGCAAAAGTACTGCAGTACAGCAGAATAATGATGTGCTTCTTAAATAACAGTTCAGAAGATTGGATATCCTCAGAGTCCTGCTGATGTCACTAAAGCCAGGATTTCACACCAGAAAATGCTATTAGAGATGAAGAACTAAGATTTATCTCAGAAATAAAGCTGCATCTTCTAATGGGAACAGCCTGAGCTCCCTGACTGGCAGCTCACACAGCCTGACCCATCCACTGAGCATGGGCAGCCCTCACAGAGCAGGCACAAGCAGGATAAGCCTTTGGGCTTTTTTGCTAATAAGCACAGGTTGTGTAGGAAGGCAAGAAAAGGAGTAGAAATTAAAAACTGATTTAGGGTTCTGCAGGACATTTGAAACTGCTGCCTCTCTCGATTTCTATAAAAGAAATCCAAGTCTTGAATATGACAGAACGTCTTTTTATATGGTCTAAGTTTAAATGAATGTATTTTAAAAAGAAAGAAACAAAAAAAAGAAGTTCATTTTTGGACATGTTAAGGTTTAAATTCCACTGCTAGGAAAAAGTTACTTTCCTACATTACAGGAGTAATGAAGGAGAAGGCAACTCCTTTTCTTGGCTATATATTTTCTCATTAGCTCCAAAACAAATCTCCGTCTAATTTTCTCTGGCTGAAATTTTATATGTGAATTAAAACTCCCCCAAGATCAAGGAGGCCATTAATATAATTCAAGTATCTTTTCCAAGGTCACCCCATCTCAGCTGCATTACCAATTCATGACAATGCGTTCTGCCACTGGTTTTGACCAGCACAACATACACACACACACACACACACACACACACACACACACACACACACAAAAAAAAAAAAAACAAAGATGGCCACGCGCTATTTTTAGGGATCAGAATACAAATTGTAACATATTTGGAATAATTTAAAAGGGAAAAAAAAAAAAAAAAAAGGATAAAGAGGGAAGATGCAAAGCATGGCTTGCAGGCAGCCGTACTTCCTCACTCCGCCTGCCTCCAGCAGGAGCGGTCCAGGTGGCCAGAGCTATAATTATCCTCCCATGAAAACTGCAATTTGGAGTTGAAAGGCACCTCTGAAATTTGGCATTGCTCCAGAAGCTCAGACTTTCTTAATGTTGCTTAACATTTCATAAACCTCCCTCCCCCCCCCCCCCCCCCCCCCAGCACCTGTATAAGGTGCTTAAAATGTCGTTACCACCTGTAATTAAACGCAGAATCCAATTACTGCGTATAGCAAATCAGGTTGGTGCTTACTGTTTGTATATATTGACCATGTTGATTATAAAAATAAAAAAAAAATTCAGGACTACTAAAGCACACTTAGAGGAATGTAATATGCAGATTGTATGAAGCTCTAAAGAGCAATTACAAGATAAAAGGTAA